TTTGTGCAGGATACAAAAACACATAATTGCACGGATAAGACATTTTAAGCGAAAGGTTATGTAATCAGTTCCGCTTCCGTGTGGTAAAATGTCAAATGTCATGCTTTATTTTGTATACTATATGACTTGCAATGGGCTATTGGGTCGTTGCCGGTAGACTCTTTGGTAGTATTCTGCCATTTACTTCCTGAAGGGTAATATGAAGAATTTTATGTAGGATTCTCAGAATGTACGCAACCATGATATTGTGGCGGGACTGGAATTGTCCTATTTTTTATTGTTTTGTATTTTATTTATATTTAGTGTCTAGGTATTGCATATGCATTGGTGTGTGGAGTCTGAGCCCTAATTCGCCGGACAGTTGGTTTCAGTTACTCGACTCCACCCACCACTGCATATGTGAACCGTTGCTGCGGATTCGCAGTGTCACTCTTCTTGCTTCTGCTGTCGCTTGGTAAGGACCGTATTTTGTCGCTCTTATTTTATCTGCTTTAAGCGTGGATTTTACACTCTTTTATTAAAGTCTCTTCGTTTGCATCGTAAATTTCGAGCCTATTTGTGTGTCTTTGCAGCACCTTGGATCTTCTGAACTAATTATTACAGTATTACTAGACTGTATTAGTGGCGAGCACCTACCGGTATTCCAGTTAAGTTGTACTGTTGCAATATGGTGTAATATTACCTAGCATAAAAAACGAATTTTTAGCGAGTTCTATAACTTATCTATAGACCTTACTTGCAAAATATCGACCTTATTGATGTGCCGGAAATTGCTCAATTATCGACTCGTCTTCGACGTGAACCTGTTGTGCATTTTGTAGCCCAGCAAGGTAGGATTGTACTCACTTATATGCCCGCCCCAAGCCCCCAACACAAGATATGGTAGGCGTGGTCATTTTCACGAATGAGTCATTTATCCATTTTTGGTTCATGTTCTTTTCTGTTTGATTCCCATAAACTGAAAATACCAACAACAAAGAACAAATGATCAAATCAATATTTATCATGTTTGGGTATATACAAGAATCACATGGGGTGAGACCACAGAGAGTGTGCTCCTCCCTCATTTATCATTTTCCTCCCTCATTCAGTGACATTTGTGCAGGATACAGAAACACATTATTGCACGGATAAGACATTTTAAGCGAAAGGTTATGTAATCAGTTCCGCTTCCGTGTGGTAAAATGTCAAATGTCACGCTTTATTTTGTATACTACATGACTTGCAATGGGCTATTGGGTCGTTGCCGGTAGACTGTTTGGTAGTTTTCTGCCGTTTAGTTCATGAAGGGTAATATGAAGAATTTTATGTAGGATTCTCAGAATGTACGCAACTCCGATACGGTGTAATATTACCTAGCATAAAAAAACGAATAGTTTTTAGCGAGTTCTATAACTCATCTATACCCCTCACTTACAAAATATCGACCTTACTGATGTGCCGGAAATTGCTCAATTATCGGCTCGTCTTCGACGTGAACCTGTTGTGCATTTTGTATCCCAGCAAGGTAGGATTGTACTCACTTATATGCCTGCCCCAAGCCCCCAACACAAGATATGGTAGGCGTGGTCATTTTCACGAATGATTCAGTTATCCATTTTTGGTTCATGTTCTCTTCTGTCTGATTTCCATGAACTGAAAATACCAACAACAAAGAACAAATAATCAAATCAATATTTATCATGTTCGGGTATATACAAGAATCACATGGGGTGACATAAGCTAGCAAGATTATGATACAGTCACAGATAATTGTATACTGCAATACCATTTGTAAAAATTATCAATTTGGTGTAAATGACACTTAACAGAACCTACAGACAAGTATATTTTCCATCTGTAAAATTTTTAGGTATGAACTCAGCCATATGTTTACTATAGTGATCTCAATTTCAAAATGCCGTATTTAAAAAAAGAATTACCGTACCTCGTAAAATATGTGACCCGACTTTTTGTCGATATAGATTATCGGTCAGTAGGTAGACTACAAGTTATTTCTGTGTTTAAACCTAATGATTATTCATACACTGCACCGCATATCGGTACAAAACATGAGCCTCAATAGCAAGACTATACGTTGTCTGGCTATGTGACGTAGCGACATGCAGACTAGCGTTACATGAAAACAAAATCTGAACAGCCGAGGTTCCAAACTGTCAAACGACACACTGTCAGGTCCATGAACACTGATATTGTTAACCATATGTTACTGCTAGGCAATTTCTCTTGATTATTTTAAATGTCCTCTGTTGTATTTATTTTTATGGTTTAATAAGGTTAACTGATGGTACACGTTATTAATACAGCTTCTTATAATAGACAACAGTTTATAGGAGCTACCGGAGAATACCTATTATTAGTCCAGGGGTGGGCAACTTCTTTAGTCGGCGGGCCAGATGTGGGAAAATGAAGGCCTCGACGGGCCGGATTATTACATGAATAGTATTCAATATCTTAATCACATATTTATTTGCTAATGCAAGAAAGAAAATTATAAATCGCGTTTAAAAAACATTCTGCTGCCTAGCAAGCTTTCTGTCCAGTTCTTTTGCTCTAGTTTGCCGTTCCACTGCTGATAAATTATTGCCATAGTTTCCACGTTTTGTTACATAATGAAGACTAATGTTGTACTCTTTTTATACCGCAACACTTTGACCACACAGTAAACATACTGCTTTGTTGCCAACCTTTGTAAAAAATACTTCGGTATCCAATCTTTGTTAAATCTCGACACTCTGTCAAGTTTACGTTTCATGGGGTATTCCCTGATTAATAAAACCTAATATAAAATCTATTTATATTTAGAATCCAAATATAACAGTAGTGGGGAATGTTTACACCGCTCTTTGCTTTGTTGTTTAACAAGTGTGCTAACGTAATGGACCTTTCCCCGAGCATCAACTTCCTTGTTTACTTCGTGACATTGGCCAATCAGCAAGGTGCAAAAGTGACGTAACAATGTCACCTTTTCGTATCCGCTCAGACACTTTTCTCCCCCAGACAGATTTTCAGGCGTGGTCGTAAACATTATCTCGTTTTTGAACTCTATTCGTTAGATTTCAGTTGTGTTTCGGAAATTTAAATATATATCGGATAATTCAATGATCACTCTGTCTTCTTATGAGTTTTAATTTAATTGTGATAGACTGGGCTTAAATTTTTTATCGGTACTCTTGAATGACAGATTTTTCTATGCGATAAATCATAATGATGGTTTGAAACACATACCCCATTTTACAGGCGCCAGCTCGCGAAATCACTCTTAAAATAAGCCCCGAAAATTTTGCAATGGTAAAATATAGAAAGAACTTTTCGGAGATTAAAGGTCGGGAGAAGGTCCATTGTTTGTTCACTAAGGCAATTATTTATTTCACCAGCTCGCTCTGACAGTGCGGTCAGAGTAGAGCGATCGGCAACTTTCAGGAATGATTCGTTGGACCACATTACAGAGTGTGGTTGGATGCAGTCAGCGGGCCGGTCAAAATCTCGTCGCGGGCCGGACCCGGCCCGCGGGCCGTATGTTGCCCGCCTCTGTATTAGTCATTTTGGCGCGTAACTGTTTTCTCATTACTAGTAGCGAATAAAATAATACAAACATCTGAATGTAGTAATGTGAACTGGTCCGAAGCCCAATTTGCAATGACCCCAGCGCCTATGTGTATTGAAACAAGTTCCCATTCATACTAGATTTTCAATTTTCCCTTTCAATCGACACGAAATGTACCTATGAATCGTTTTGTTATTGAGTTGTTGTTGGTATTCTTGTTCTTCTTTCTGTTATTGTTTAGAATTTTTGTATGGTAACGTCATAAAAAATTATTTGTAGCGATTCCGCGACTACATGTCACCGATCTCTGGGCCAGTGAAGACGGAAGCTTTTGATAAGCTAGGGCGAATGTAAGATAAAGAACGGTAGGCTACCAGGACTGTGAGGATTTGGTACCCCAGTTGTGACTCGACTCATTTTGTATTTTCCTTCACGATTAGACTAGACGCATAAATCATTATCGCCGCAGTACCTGGGAAAGCTAGGGCAGTCCGGGTACCAGTACTGGTAAGTTATGGTAGGGTATTCCTCAGTTCCTGCTTCATTCAGGATATAATAAACCTAATAACATTCTCATTCTGAGTCTCAAAATTCAAACTTGACAATCATTTTCTAATGTATGATACAGGATTAATCAGAACTTATCAGGGAACTAATCAACAATAAATCTAGACACACATAAGGGTAGCATTCTCCCCAATGCATAAATTGAGCGTGCACCGCGTGTTAAAGGGAATTCTATCGTAGAAGGCGGGGAATATGGTAATTTTGTTACGTCACAGAAGATATGGACAATGTGAAATCACAAAGCGGTACTGCTTTGACAGTGATTAAATTTTTCATGGAAAGCCATGAAAATGGTTAATATATATATATAAATGGTATAAATTAATGTAACATTTCGTACACCCATTTCAAAAATGATGCATATGGCGGGAAATTGAAATTCTCGCGAGATGTTTTAAAGTCGTTGAATGGGTCGCAAGCCCGCAAATCGAAAGAACCATATTAAGAACACTTGCAGTACAATTCATCATTACTGCCCGGTGATTAGATTTAATAAATATCTATTCATCTTCTATATGCAACATTCCTAATGTTAACAGTATAACGAAGTTCAATAACATTTATAAGTTTCACATTACTTTCACTCTGCATGAATGGAATGCAACAAGGCCATTTCTAAACTGAGATATGAAAAGCGTGAGAAATTGAGCCGGCGAGGTTTTTCTTTTCGTTGTTTATTTGTTGATAGACTACAGAGTTGAATTTGAACAAAATTGCAGAAATTGAACTTTTATTATCACTTCATCGTCCCGATACAATAAAATTGAAACAAAATTGCAGATCCATCGTTGTTAAATATAAAACATGAATATCATTAACTCAAAAAAAATGTAAAAATCTTTTTCTCGGTAAATTTACCCCCCTGATTTCTCGTATTTGTCTTTTCTCTCTCATTATTCTCTTTGTTGAGTCTCGTGGATGTTTTGATCGGTGTCTTCCACTTAATAATAAAAAATAAATAATATTCTAAAAGAGCCTTGGGTTTATAATTGGGATCGGGCCTGATCCAGTTTGAGTTTGAATAATGCAAATAAATCTAACTTTTAAAATCAATGTAATTTATCAGTTTTGTTTAAAAAACTCGTGATGTTACCTCAAATATTATCGTCCTATTGAGATGACAAAAAGCTCAAAATATTTTATTGTTTAATTGGTTTGTTGGTAATGTTTTGTTACCTTCACCGGATAATTGTTTGAGTTCTTCCTCGTCTTCGTTATCAAAATCTTCTGAATCCTGGAACATGTCCTGATCATCGATATCTTGTTCATCGAACTTCTCATCGTCAAAATCATGGCTCTAAGATAGCAAGAATAAACGTATTTTTTATGTAAGATACTTGTTGCGATTAAAGTTTTGGTAATATAGATGTATATAAATATAGTAATTGACAGTTAAATTCAATCCTAATAAGTCTAAAACATATTTTCTCTATTACCTCGTCCATCAAAGTTTTGTCTTCAAATTCTATATCGCCAGTGTATTGTCTGTAATGTAATAAATATTTATATAAAGGATATAAACACGTAGTATTAGTATATTTCATGATAATTTTTTCAAAATATATGGGGACTGCACAACATCATTATTCGCATGTTTATTGGTTCACAAAACTTGAAAACATAGCTGGAGGATGGTCTTGATTGCTGCGAAAATATCATGCGGCCCTGTGGTGGAAAAATATTTTGACGGTTTTCTAATCGTCAGGCTTAGAAAATTTTTTTTACCTGTGTTTGTGGAACTGAGCAATCATTTTTCGCCCAAGATTTCTCACATCGTTACCGTATTTCATTGCATTTCTACCCTCTCGAAGGACGAATGAAACCAAACCTCTGTACTGATGCAGTACGTGAATGTGGCGTCTATACAGGGCACGATAATGCCTCAGTAGTGCGTAGTAGCTTGATTTGAATGATGGTGCGCAGTGACGCCTTCGTCGTCTACGACTAAACCAAGAATCCCCCCCGTCAAAAGCGAGGATCGCCACAAGTGCCAAAAGAATCAAGAACCGTGCTTTCATTCTTGTTTGATACAGTTGAACTGAATAGAAAGTTGCAAAATTATTTTATACAAAGATTTCAATTTAAGCTATATATTTCGCAGACAGTTGGTAACTCACCTTGAAAACTTTGTTGTATTTTCGATGAAGGCTGCCTGAGTCTGAATTTTATCTCGCTTATAGCTCTGATTTATACATTTTTGAACGTAGTATTTTCTTTTGTAAAGCTTCATTAAAACAAAATAAATGATAGTTAAGTATTGTGTCTCCGTCCACAAACGAAATAATCTACACAGGATATCCTAAGTAATTTCAATATGTAGAATTAATTGAATGGAATCACAAGACAACATATGCCTACATCCATTTCATTCACATCACAATAATACGGAATACACGGTTTCAAATAATGCCTGTTTAAATGAATTTGAACTATAACTACTTGACTACAAATCAACTATGATTCGCTGAAAAACTGCCTTCAATCATCCGTACCTTTTATACAATGCATGATTCTTTCGAGGTAGGAAGGACTCATTTGCTGGTATTTCTGTAGTGAAGACAATATACTGCCGAAATCGAGAACGTTTGAACATTCATTAACTTGGCAGTCGCCATTCAATCACCAGTAAGTTTTCTTTTTGGGTTTATATTGAATTAAGTTTTTTTTCATGAAGATATGTAGAATATAAAATGATTATAGTCCTGATAAAATGTTTGAATTTTATGCTGCCAACTAGGGAACCGCCTTCTGTCACGGCCCTATTGTCCATTGTGTTGGTTTATGAAATCGAGTATAATGTATAAGATATCCTGATAGATTCAATTGCATGAATTAAAACCATTTGTTGTGTTATAAAAAGAATGCACGTTGCAATGTGTAATGTGATCTACCACTCGGTAAGAGAATCTACAAATGGCAAAGAAGGAAACAATTCTTTTTCACACATTCAATAGTTTGTGATGATAATAAAATTACAAATTTGAATTCGATGTTGGATACATAGGCTTTTGATGCATTGTATCAGGTAAAATATTCTAGCCTTTTACGACAAATCGACCATTTTTTTTGTTTAACATTCTTCGAACAAGCAAAAAATGCTGATAGATCATATTGAAGATACCCGGGTACAACACTGTGATATAAATACAGGGCGTAAATTTTGTAGCAATATGGATGCCTTACATAACATGTGTTAAAAATGTCTGATTATGGTTGAATACATTAAAAAGATAATTTCAACTCATACGACATTTTAAACTTCATACCCCAATAATGAATAATCCAACAAGATATAATGATAAGGTGTTATGCAACTTGAGACTTTATTTTTAAGAGAACTTCGTCGACCCGGCATGTGCGATCGATTATAGAATGCTTTCGATACGTCCAAGTGGCTCTGTGAATGTGCGACAGACTTAATAAAATTTATTATTTTCAGTTATAATTTAACACGAATTGTATTGTATATGGATTGTTTTGACAAATTGTTGTTGTTACTGGGAGTGTCGTAAAAATACTTTCCTTTGCAGCTAATAGACTAATAGATTTCTATATTTTAGTTTTCAAAATGGAAAGTTCATGAAAGGATGATTTTTTTTTTTTTTCAATTTATTTACGATTTGTATTGGGCTCGATATTACATCCCAAATTTTGCTCTTATTGCGTTACCACATTTCAAAGTTGCAATGCATCATGGAAAATACGTAAACATGGAAATATATTCGTTTTCGAACACAGATGCATACGCTTGAGAAAGTTTACGTGGGCTATCAACTGAGAATTTTAAATCTAAATTCAATTTAAATGCATTCTTTTTTTCGGTCGAGGAAATCAAAAGTATACGTTCAATTTGTAAACCTTTTTTAATTCTTAAATTATTTAGATATGGGCATCTCCAATATTGCTCGGTTATTGCTTACTCGTGTGTCTGTAACATAAATTATATATATTTCTAAGTGTAATATCCAGCATAAAGCATGACCAGAATACAGAATTGCTAAGACACAAGCGCCAATGTGCCATATATATATTATAAACATTGAAATTATTGAACACCGAACTAAACGGAATATAAACATCGTTGTAGCCGCAATATAATCATCTGAGCCCCAGTTTTGCTATCGCGATTAGAAGGCCTATTGTGGACTCTATGTCAGTGTCGGACAATGGAACTCCTTTCCCTCTTGCGATAGTGTTCTTTTTCTATATTTCTTCACTTCTTCCCTAATCTGTGCAAGATATTTCAGTCTAGGCCTATATTCACTAAGATAATGTTAATGTGCCGTAATATTCTCAATTTTGATTTTGTTTACTTATTTTATATTGCTTACTGAATTGACCTTGCTTGACTCATCCATTGATTTAAAACGCGCATCCGCCAGATGGAATGCCGAACGCCGAGCAACCCACTCTCCGTTTTCCAATTTAGATTTAGCATTAAATTTTAGTTACACCTATGTTTCTGCCTAACTCTTATCGTGCCACCGTATTTACATTCGTAGAGCTGTTAACAAGATGCGGATTTTAGGGATGTAGTACGGTCATAAATGTGACGCGTCCCAAGTCGTTTATTTTTGGTTGGAAATCGGGGATCTCGCAATGTTACAAAGCCGTTACATCACGAAAATAAATGATGCTGAACAAGTCTTATAAGTTTTACGTAATTTTGACCCTCACAACTAGAAATGCAACTATAGGCTACTTCTGAATAGAGATCTCATAAAGACGCGGAAATAAGTTATATTGAAATTTTGCTGGAAATGTGTGATTTTTCTTTGTCTTGAATCTCTGATTAACTCAATTATAAACTACACAATAAAAATCAAACAAAATTGCAGCTACATCATTTTAATATTGAAAAATTAATTTCCAATATCATTCATCCAAATAAACAAAAAAAAAATAAAATTCATGGTAAATTCAACTTCGAATTCCTTGTGTCCGTCCCCTTGACTCTTCTTATTCTTTTTCATGAGATTCTATCACGTTTGAATCGGTGTCTTGCACTTAATATAAAAAGAAATTGTCATTTAATTGGTCCTGTTTATCATAATTTTATGATTTTGTTAGGACCGGGCGCACTCCGCGATCGGATTTGAGATTGAATTGTGCAATTTAATATTTGTTTAAATTCTTCACTCATCTCATAACGTTTATAGTACAAATTGTTACGATCGATCGACAGCAAAGATTAGTGTCTCATTAGGATAAATAAAATTCAAGATGGTTGTATTTTTATATATTCATTTGGTTTGTTACCTTCATCGGGTAGTTGCTTGACTTCTTCTTCGTCCTCGTTTTCAGAAAAATCTTCTGAATCCTGAAACATGTCCTGATCATCGTTGACTTGTTCACTGATATTATCATCGTCGAAATCATGGCTCTGAGTGAGGAAAAACAAACGTATTAGTATTTTTTCATATACCACCTTTGTAGGATTTTAACTTTTTGTAATAAAAGATTACCGAATAGAAATATATTAAATATTTGGGTTTCCAAAGATTTGGATAAAATAATCAGTAATAATGATTGGTAAGACACTTGATAAATATAAATATAGCAATTGGTAAATGGAATTAGCTAATTTAAACTTCAGATCCTACAAAGTATAAACTCAACATATTACTCGCTGCTACCTCGTCTATAAAAGGTTCGTCCTCAAATTCCATATCCCCATAAGCATATTTCCTGAAATGTAATAAATAATCGTAAAAAGAATAAGAGAATATTTATAAAGAAAATCGAAAGTCACATAGAAATACACCGAAAACAAAAACGCTTAGAAAGTAAACTTGATTATATGAACGTGAAATTAAAACGTGAAATAAAAATTGAGTGCTGTGGTTCCGTGATAACATCTCAATCATATGGTGGTTACGCTACTACTTCGTTTCGGCTTTCATGTCCATATATTTGAGCATTGCCTTCTTGTTCATCACTATATACAGTGACTTTCTTACAAACTATAGCAATTAGCCATTTTTTTATTGTAATTTTATAGGATCATAAAAATGACACAGCTCGGAAGATTTCAATATTAACACAGCTGGAGTGAATTAGCTTTGTTTCATTGTTTATGATTGCTACAAAAATACCATGCGATATGGTTGTAAGAAAAGTATTGTTATATGTATTTTATCATCAAATAATGAAGTAATATGTCAAATTTGTTCCACCTGTAGCTGTAGAACTTAGCAATCATTTTTTGTCCAAGAGCTTTCATCTGGTAGCCGTATCTCTTTGCATTTCTACCCTCTCGAAGGACGAATGCAAGCAAACCTTTGTATTTACCTAATACACTAACATGGCGTGTATACAGAGCAGTATAAAGTTTCCGCACTGAGCGGTACTGTGATGTATATGTAGGGGGACAACGTCTTCTTCTACGTCTACTCCAAGAATCTCCACCGTCAAAGGCGAGGATCGCCACAAGTGCCAAAAGAATCAAGAATCTCACTTTCATCCTTATTGATCGAACTGAATCGAAATTATGGAAATTATTTTATAGCGGTGATATCAGCACAGCTAAAATCCGTTAAAAAATAAAAAAAATTCCATTTGAGTTTTTATAGCATTTTATAGAAAGACTCATAAGTACCTACTCAAAACCCAAAAAGAAAACATCAATGAGGCAATATGAGAATATTCGGCATAAGTATTTTACTTTGGTTAAAAAATATTCAATTTTTGCACATTTTAGTCCGTAAATTTGACGAAAAATAACCAAATTACATTCCGAACCATTTATCAAGTCTACAAATAGTAACCCACTTTAGAGAAACTTAGTTGTGTTCTCGATGAAGATTTGCTCGACTTTAAATTTCATTTCCCCGGCAGGTGTTATTTATACAATTTTAAACATGCTTATTGTTTGCAAGGCTACATTAAAACAAAATAAAGATTTGTTAGTTATTGTTTTTCCACCCACAAATGAGATAAACCTCTCAGGATGTCCTGAATAATTTTAATATGTAGATTGGATTAATGGAATTATAAGATAATATAGGCCTACATTAAGTTTATTGACATTATAACGATACAGAGGCACGGCTTCGAATAATACTTGTTTGACTGAATTTTAATTTCAAATATAACCATATAAAAACAGACCAACTTTGGTTAGCTAAAAAATTGTCTTCGTATTGTCATACTTTTATATATAATCAATTGTGAATGCAGAATTGAATAAATAAATTCACTGTTGTTTGGAATTCATTTTTCGGTTTTTCAATAGGTGAAAATAAACTGCACAAATTGACTCCTCGACAACTGATATCCACAGAAAAAGTTATCCCGTTGCGTATAAATTAAATCCGAATTATTTTCCTGTATGGAAATATGAAAGAAAGTTTTGTAATTATACTCTCCGATGAAAGAGTGAATCCTATGCTTCTAACGGGGGAATCGCTCTTTGTATTGCATATTCTAATGGTGTGTAAAATTGAATATAATATATTTTATTAGCTTCAATTGCAGGAATTGGAACCAATAGTCATATGATATAAACCCATGTACGTTGCAATGGGTAATGGGATCTGGTACTCGGTATGAGAATCCACAAATGGCAAAAGGGAAACAATTCATTCTCAATGAATTTAATATCTTGTCGTAATAAACAACTTACTAATTTAAATTGTATGTTTGATCAAGTGGTTTTCAATTTATTGTGTCATGTAAAGTATATCGACTTTTCACGGTAATTCAATCCATTGTACCAAAGATTTCTCTACACCCAAAGAAAGGGTTGATATCTCTCTAAAAATTGAAACTGGACTTTGATTCCTATTTTAGATGTGTTGCATTTGTAGATATAGAAACTCGCTTTTACGCAAGTAACTGCGTTGTGATCTGTTCTTAACAATACTGCACTGCTAAAATTCTGACAAAATCTTTGCTCAGCTATAGGTATGGCAATTACTTAATTTTTTAATATGCCGTCTCTGGCAGTCAGGCCAACTTTAGTACTATTCCGACAACGACAAAGGTAAGAATTACTGGGATATCATCATGTCATCAAAAACTAAAGGTACCAGTGCTCCGTTCTGAGTAACCCGATACGCCGAGAATGGCAAATATGTAAGTTTAATTTACTCGGATTAGGCTCAAAAAATTTGGTGGACTATCACGAAACGGTTATAAAAATGCCTTTGAAAATTGAAATTTTTTGCATATGAGTGGCTTATTTCTAAAGCCTTACGGACGCGTGACACACTTTGCAAAATCATTTTTTCTGTTATAATTAGGAATGGAGTTTACATATAGATCGTTTTTTGCTATTATATTATTTATTAAGGCAGTACTGCGGTAAGTAATTTGACTCGTGTGCCTATATTTGCCATATTTTTTACATCAAATCAGATTTTGTGTAATGTTAAGGAATCGCTTCTATGAATTATTTTGTGATGGTGAAAAGCATACAATACCGTAAAATTTTTCTTAAAAATTATTTCTAAGAGATCGGGCGGAGATTGTTTGTGAAAATTCATTCTTATTAGATACAACAGTATCTAAAGATAGTAGAACCCAGTAGAAGTAGAACTTTAGAACCCAGTGCATTATTGTCTTTCTCTACTAAATATCATTCATTAGGTTGAATCAGAAGTTATAATAGAAACTAATCTGTTTTCCGTGTATTGAGTGAGTATAGCCAAAGATTTTTGCACATTGAATTTAGTAAAAGAAAGATATTGAATATGATATCTATTCAGATAATATTTCCAATGATCATCATTACAAATACACCAGCATTAACAATGATATCTGTGATAAATGTGGATTTCTTCCGAATAATGGTCTGATATGATTGCATTGTAATGAACTAGACTCACTAAAGCATTATTGTGGATACTGAATAGTAAATGAGACAAATGAAACAATCTGTATATAATATAGTATGCTTGCACGAACAATTTAGCCACTTGCATCAACACATCCATAATTCACACGGTCTTCTTTTCTCGATTTCAGATTTTTGTTGCCGTCAACAGAATTTATTTATTTTTTTAGTCGTAATTTGCTCTCAAAAATTACAATAGGAAGAACATTAACCGGTTCTCCCCTAGTATGTAAATCAAGATGGCGGACACCGGAACGTAGTATGTGTACCAGGTTATGGTTAGGCCATACTTTCAGTAAGGGAGTCACTTGGCTAGTCCCCGAAATCGTAATAGAACTAAAATGAGAAAAATTGGAACAAAATAATGGCCTAACCCTAACATGTCACACATACTACGTTACGCTGTTTGCCATCTTGGTTCACATACTACGGGAGCGCCCATCAATCAATACCTCAAAACAAAAATTGATCGAATATAAAATTATTGTGCGAGTGTCACATCTGTTATCTTTGGTGGTCTATCAGTATAAAATAATAAAGCTTTTCATTTACGGTGTAGAGCAGGGGTGTGCAAACTGCGGCCCGCGGGCCAAATGCGGCACACAAGAAAAAATTGTGTGGCCCGCGTAGAAGTGCCAACTTAGAATGGTGTGCCCGCGAAACAAGATTTTAGTATATGTAACGCATGCGTACGTGCGAGCAATTCCAATCTCTTCTCGTCACAAACCTTATACCAGTACCTGAGTGCCACTGTTATATTAGCAAAACTGGCTAGCGAAATCCTGTTGCAATATACGCAATGTTATAAAAAAGTGTTTCGCACTGAATTCGTTTAAAGTTTTTGTGCCAATAAATTTGAATAGCAGTTTTCTTTGGAAATTTATGCGTTTTACCTCACCATTTCTGCAAGGACCCCTAACAATGATGTAAGATCAATAACAAAAATGAACAATTTTTTTGTGTCTGCGAGAATAGCTGTCTTAAATAAAGGTGCGGCCCGCGGCTTCATCCAGTTACTTGTATCTGGCCCTGTTGTAATAAAGGTTGCACACCCCTGGTGTAGAGTGTAGAATATTCTATCGATTTTTAGGAACGTCAATAATATAATCAAATATTTTTTAATGCAAATAAAAAATATTTTGCAAATACTTTCGTACATCTTTTATACAAAGTTTGACATTTGTGAATGTGTGAATTGCGTGGGCTAATAGGGTAACTTTGCCAATAAACGACTCTTGAATCCTGCGTTTTGATTTCATGTAGAAAAATTCATTCAGGCAAAATTGTTTGCTACTTTCAAATGGGAGAAGCAAAATCTCATTGGTACATATCTGGTTGATAACTTTGCCATTAGGAAAAATCTGCGTTACGGTGTTGGATCACCAAACTTTATAAAAATTTTGGTATCATTTCTGATCCTGATAATAAGTTTATGCTTTATTCAACTCTATTTTGTTTCGTTGTGGATTGGTAATAACAATAAAAGCCAAAAGGCAAAACGATACAGATCGGTTTACACAACGTATGCTTGATGCCATATTAAATAAAATAAGTAGTTAATCATTTCGACATCACCTGCCTGTCCTTCCTATGTTTGGATATGCGTGAATTTTAAACCGCAACGTTTATTCAGGTATAGAATCATATGTTAAAAGCCTGTTTTCATTTTGAATAGTTATGAATGGCTTGACCATCAAACGACACTGGAAGTATGAATTAAAAAATTTTTAATTACAAAAGACAGATTGTTTTAAAATATCTCAATGTCCCGTGACTTTTATGAAAAACCCATATCAGACTATAAATAGGATCGGACCGGTGGTTAATTTCTACTTGGAAAAGTTACGGACAGAAAGACTGAAAAAACATTTTGTTGCAATAGTAGAAAGGGTAAGTGAAAGAAACGAAAAACTACGTTGTTTAGAAGTTGTAATTTAACTCTAAATTAGGTTGGTTAAACAATTCCTATATCCCCAAATATTAAATTGAGAATTCCTAATGAAACATTAGCTTGCTCATCTCTTTATAAAATGCTGCCATTCTGTTTCGTAAATCTTGGGCTTTTTGGTAGACCATTGTCCACGAAACGTTAACAAAAAACTTCTTAACTACTCTTAATTCAATGGAATTCAGCAAAATACTTGTTTTTATATTAAATTCATATACTTTCTTTCTAACAAGTTTTATACAATTTATGCCGAAATAAATTCCATTTCTCATTTAAATCAGAATTTTTTTACACCATAATGTATTGGGCTAATTGTTTATTTGTGGATTTGCCAATAAAATGCCTGTTAATTAGGTTTGTTAGATATTTTTGGCATCCATGAAATCACATGCAACCAAAAACGGACAATTATTCATATTTTAATCCAGAATAGAATAGCATGTTTTTTATCAATTCAGACAAAAATCAAATTTTAAGATTCTTGGCCAGCTTAAATGGTGGCAGCTTAAATGCAGTTTTTTTGTGTCATCCATTGGTGTATTAAAAAGTTGAGAACTCAAAGTATAATATCAGCCATACATTTGTATGACATATACTTTATTCAAGTCGGATGAAACTAAATTTAAACATCCATATCTTGTTGACAGAAGATGAAGTTTGTGATTGCCCTTGCCCTTGTTGTCATCTTTGCCGTTGTTGCGAGTAAAGCAAGCGTGAGTAATTCAATTCACCAGGGTCAAGTCCGACTTACAAAAAACGAGCGGCAAAGATATATGACGTTGTTGAAGAAACGCAACCATATAAAGAAAGAATACCACTCATTGATGAGATCACTGAAAAAGCTTAACCAACAAACTCATCTTCTGCCTTCCAAACAAAGGTTGGTTGACTGGTATATAATGGAATAGTCGATGAGAATATTTCCCATAATATTCCCATAAGCATAACTTTGCATGTTTCCTGGACCATCTGTTAAATACTATATTTAACTCATTTCTACAATTGCGACACCGTGTGGGGCCTTTGCGATCGACGGGGCTCAAGAAAGTGTGCCTAGTAACTACCGGCACAAATATCGTGTTCAAATTAATTCATTGACTGATATTTTCAGACGCACTGCTTTTGGAGATGAAGATATGCTGCCAAATGAGGTATCAGCTTAGCTTCTGCATATTGCTTTATAGATTTATATAGCAAAAAATTGTACACGATTTTTGTAAATTTTGAAACGACATCACATTAGATTTACAAATAGCTTTTACCTAAAATAATCATGCCAATAAATACTCGAACTTCTATAATTGGAAATTTACTCTCACACTATCTTTGTAGAACATGGATTTGAATTCTCTTGTGGCAGCTCTCCCTGAATATATTGATGACATTGAAGGTATGTACTATAAAGGACGTACAAGGAAAATAAATAATTTCTATTCCAATTTTTATTATTTTTTTTTTATGTAAAAATATTTCATTTTGCTCATTTTATTTTAAGCTGAGGATGACGATCAAGTTGATCAAATTGTGAAGAATTTGGAAGAATAAATTTCCCAGAATCTAACTAAAGAAAAATAGTGCTTATATATTAATTGTTGCACTGCAGTTAAAGAATATTCAGTTTTATCATAAACAGAAACATTTTAATTAATTTAATCATGATATGTATAATAATGATGGAATAAATACGCTTCTAAGTTGTTGAATATATTTGTGAAGTTACTATTGGTCAGGGATAAATAGAGCGGCCAAATTTGAAGTGTTTGTAAATGATATTAATTAAATGATATGAGTTGCTTAAAATTGGTAGTTTCCAAAATTAGAATATTTTCGTGGTCTCTCAAAACTGTTGTGGCATGTATGTCGATTACTGTTGCACCAACCACGAACTAAGGTCATTCTTTTAATTTCGACTGAAGATTATTGTTTTGTGACACCGATTCACGTATTACAGTGTATACACTTTTGGCGTCTAAGGTCTCTTGAGCCTTAGGCCGTCAACCATTCTGTCGTGTATGCTGGGTTACTCAGTCGCCAAGATCAAACGTCAAAGTCTAGTCTGGTAGCCCGATGGAGACAAATGGCTTACAACAGGTTAAAACCAAGAAAAATGCAATCATGAGCAACAATGAAATCAAGGCAATGACTTCTATTCTTACAAAATGAAAGCAATATAACGATAACTCTGTGACGTCATAAAGTGTCATTTCGTACAACACCAGTTGTACCAGATAAACGCTCCCGTTCTCAGACTGGCTCCATGTTTTCATCAGATTATTGTCAGTATCTGAAGTCTCTATAATCTTGATATAAAAATAATTTCGCAAAGTATTATATATTATTTGAAATGTAGAAGATTTCTTACTCGGGCTGTGAACATCAGTCATAAGGCAAATATGGGGCGATTTTCAATTTTTGCAAAACCCTGATAATGCCCTTGCATAATATGGTTAGACTGAACACATACAAAAAAAAAAGATTAGCCACATGGTGAATCTCGCAAGAACCATTGACCCACATATGAGCGTCAAATACGTGGTTATTGTGCCGGTCTGTCACAGGAAATACGTTCGATATGGTACCTATGTAGATATCTGCACAAACAGAGAATTTCTGTACACATGTCACGTTTGCTTTTTTGTCGGCTTGACCTATTTTTTTGAGCAAGATCGAGAATAAATCATAGAAGAAATAATTGCGCATATAATCATGTATATGGTATTTTGCAACAACAGGATGTAGATATATGCGTGATAACATCCTGCTCATGTGGGCTATCCTGAGTGGGTAGACTCTAATAGATATTTTGTATACATAGATGGTGTGCGTAATAGGATGTTATGATTCCTGGTGCATGTCCTCTTTTTGATTTGCCTATTTTATTCACGAGTTATGCAAGAGGCAACACGGACCCAAAGCCGATCATGCCGGACTTCTCTAAAAATTAACTGACTTGAAACTTTTTTAAAACCGGACGTTACAGTGTGCAATATTTGCGACATATCTCTGCCATTAACTCTATACAACGAATCTAATAAGCAAATAAGCCAAGCCCAAATATACATGTCAGAGGAACGAAAAAAAAACAATAGAGCTTGATAGCCTCGAGTAGCCCATAAAATACTATTTAAATCGGTGCTAATGGCATAATAACTCATAAAATATCGGGGTTACACCAACAGGGTCTGAGTGCATTTGTTTGCGTCTTTGGGGTATGAAAACGGTATTTTGAGAAGGCCAATGATGGTAACATAAATAGATATGCAGTTTTCTACTTTCCAGTTTCCTACGCGTTTTCGACAAACGTATCCCACTTTACCATTACTGTAGACAACAAAGATCAGCCACGCATCAACTGAATGCAAATAGGTTTGCGTGATATCATTTTGCAAAACAGCGGATAGCAATTTGCATATAATGAAAAGTTATTAACATCTATACAAATATATCATGCTCATTGAATCAACATTCATTTTAGAAACAATCAAACTATTCAGAATATTAAAAATACTTTTATAAAATCATCGTATCATGCTTTATAAAATCGTACGCGGCAGGAAAATAATTTTGCATTTTGTAAATTTAGGCAAATGTTGAAACAACGTTTTTTTTTCTAAAACAAAATATAACTCGTGTAAACATAATTCATGTTGCTGCCAAAGGTGAGCCGTCGTTAAGACATGTCTCTGTGCTGTTGTATACAATGGCCCACGTTTGATTACATAGATGAACATGAAAACATTGGTGCCTCTAATTTGTTTCAAACTAAAATGAAAATTTCAAAAAACTGTCCCAGAGAGCAATTTCGCAATGTCAGACAACGGGGATGTCGCAATGATGCAGATCGGCCATTTCTGTTGTTCATTTTTGAAACTATTCTAGCTTAATGAATAAAATCCATATCATTTTTAAATTTTTGAGCGAATATTTTTTGCAAAAATTGCACATTTTTGTCACTTGCTGTCAGGAAATGGTTTCTGAATTAGATTACCTTCATGTTTTGACTATCATTTTGACCTCTCCATAACTGCCAATATACCGGCGAATAATAACGGAATTCCTTTATTGGGTTCAAAATTCAAGCACACAAGGGGTCGACATTTGAAAGGAAATGTTTTTCCCACTTGATTTTTTTTATGAAAACAAGTGAATATGAATAAATAGCTGCCAGAAAATAGGATATTTTGTGGAACGACTGAAAGGTGTTGAAGATTCCCTCAAGGTTCCCTGAATTTATAAATAGGTGAGTAGAGGGTGAGAATACAGAGTTGCATCAAACCTAGAGCACCTCGCTCAATTTCAATTTTAAAAACGAAACAAATATCACCATTGCCGATGCTGATTCAAAAACCATCTTACTATTTTTACCAATGGTTTATAGAAACTCTGTATTATTGGATATTGTATTATTATTGTATTATTGAATTTGTATTGTTGAATTATTGAATTATTATTATTATTTGTATTATTGAAATTATCACCGAATATTTTCACATTTTTGCGCATTTCTGGCCACTTCTAAATTTTCATACCGAAGACGCCGTAGACCAGTTTTTCATATTTTAAGTGGGTAATGATGCTATTTTTTGTGTTGAAGGTTTCCGTTGATAATCCATGATATTCACTAATCTTAGACAGCACATACATGGTGGACATGCACGGTGCAGCAAAGCATTGTTTGGCAAATTAAATCACCGTATTCACAGCTTTACCTGATCCTATCTCAACTAGAATAATATAATACTTTTTGATTTTTGCTTACAGCGAAAATGCAGGAAAAATTGTTGCTTGTGTTGGGTTTGGTGGCAATTCTTGCTTTTGAATCTGGAGACTGCTGGTGGAGGAGACGTCATAGTTACCACAACGCGTACAAATCTCATCATTTGAATACTCTGAAATTGTACCGAGCATTGCAATCAAAATACCGAGTCGTTCTAGCCAATTATAAAGCTCTAGTGTCGTACATACACGGTGTTGGAGTGAGAGCTGTTAGATATGGTGGCTACGTAACCGGAATCGGGAGACAGTTGTTGTCACAACATGCCAGGCACAGGTATGTGGTAGCTAATGAAAGTTTTAACACTTACCTAAGATAAAATTTCCGCTGTTGATATAATATAGTGTTCATTGATTATATTATTTTTATTTTGCAGATATATTGCCTATCATTATGGAGATGACGATTTAGTTGATGATGACTTGTTTTCTGACAATATGGTAAGTTTAGTGAGGTATTATTAATTCAATACTTAACCACAAAGAAGTTTTGGGAGTGTGAATTAAGTTATAAATATACAAAAGCAAATAAACAGTCAAGTTTCATTTTTACAGCAGAACTATTCACATATATCGATGTTTAATTAAGAAAATTCCATTAATCCTACTTTTGAAGCATTGATATAATTGATTTGTCTTGAAATAACGAGTGAAAAGTGAGGGCCAGTTGCATGGAGAGTGGTCATCAAAAGCTACCAAGTGCTGCATTCTGGACGACATGTTCAATAAATATATTTTTCTAAAACAGAATGACGCAATAGAAGACAACTTCAATGAAGAGAATGACGATCAACATCTGTTCGAGGAAAAAGAAGAGAAACAGGAAAATGGACTTCCCCAACATGGTAAGTAATTTGAAAATAGGCTTTACTGAAAGATTTGTAATTAGAAATATTAGGCACACCCCGGAACTTTGATATATTTTATTTTTATTTTATTTTGAAACTATGGCATGTTACTGATTTAAACTTTAACAATACTTTGTACAACACCACAGTTTTATCTTCCCTATTAACTGCCATAATTTTGATTAATTGGTTCAGTAGTCATTTTTTTAACCTAACTACAACAACGAATATAATTTAAAAAAAGGATTCGTAGGTCAGTATTGTGTTCAAAATCAATTCTTTACCATTGTAACCGTCATTACCATTGAAGATATTCTATTTTTTTTTTTTCAGCTGGAGATTTTGTTCGGGAAGTTTAGTAAAGTGAAGATTATCGACGGCAGAACACAATGTTACATGAACGAATCAAACCTTCCCCATCATGCTTTTTTGAATAAAAGTTTAGAATGTCATTTTATTATTTATGTATTTGGAAATACACTATATATACTGCATAATTTTTGCTTCGGTTATTCAGGGTACTTTAAAGTTTGTAGTATCTTTAATAAATAATAAATGTTCAATATTATTATCTGTTGGACAACAACGCTTTTGTCACGTAATAAATCAAACGTGATCAATCGAGCTATAAAATAAGACGATTGTTCACGACTCCCCCCGACATGTATGAATTTTAAGACAAAATGTACGTCAAAATATAATGTTTATGCGCAAATTCCTGGAATTTTTAAAGTCCAACAACACTGAAATGAATAGATTAATCAGTACCCGAAAAGAAGTACCAAGCCTAATTTGTTATATTATCAAACACAATGTTTCAACTCAATTGGATCTGTGGATTCTGCGCAAACTCTTCCCGAAAATCACGCTTCGTTGTTGTTTCCAAATTTATATTCTATATGACCCTTCCTGTAATTAATTTGGTACATCAAGAACGTCTGTTTTAGATGAACTGGCCCGCATGATATCGAATAGTTAAAGATCCCCAACTTATCACTGCCCATAAGTAAACGGTAAATCTCACAGCAATATATTGGGAAGCTGGAACACATCTTGCGCCAAGTCACGATATATAAATTTGTGTCCAATAATTATTCTCTCTTGAGCCCGACAAAAAGCCCTGTCACCGAGTTTAGCGCTGATGTTTAGCGTGTAGCCCTGACATGGGGGTATACTGCGGCCCGCGGGTCGAATCCGGCCTGTTGGTTAATTTAATCTGCACGAGTTTTGTTTGTTTCCACTTTTGCTTTTGTAACACTGTATACGTTGTTTATGAAATGTAACTTTATAGGTCACACTTATATGGCCCGGCAATCTAGACGGGCAAAATGTTTGGCCCATAGTTCTAAAACCTTGCTCACCCCTGGTGTAGCCGAACATATTTCACACACAGACACAACACAAAATTACCGTGTTTAGCTAACCCATCAGGAAGGACATACTCACAGAATAACACAAAATATATTTTTTTTGAGCGAAATCATTATCATGAAAGTATGCTAATATGTATTGAATGTCAAAACTAAATGACTGTTTTTGGCGCTCATCTCATCATAGCATACCTTCCTCCAAAAACGGTAATATGTTTAACGATCTTTTTGTATTAAATTTCTGCTTAGTCTGAAATTTGAACCACCATTTGCACAATTTCCGAAAGTAATGAAAAATATGAATAGGCCTTTGTACATATTGTTTATTTGAAATCTAGTTACCATATGGCAATCAGTAATTTTGCTAAATAATAGAATTAAGCATGAACCCACGATTTCGTCTTTGCATATTTTTTAATATACGGATATCCTCATTCTCGTCAAATTGAATTTCAATAAAAGTAATAATATAATAGTGTATTATTCTATTGTCGGAATCAGCTTTTAAGACAAATTTATTAAGCAAATTCTCAATTTTGGCTTCTATATAATACGATGCTTGCAAAGGTTAAAAATACAGACGGAAGATTTTGGCATTGGCGATTATTGGGCAAGTCGGTGGATACAAGGTTTGTAAATAAACAGTTCGAGTTTCTCGTTGGCAATCGGAGTTCAATAATGTTTGTTGTAAAAAGAAAGTTATCAAAAAGAGTGATTAGGGTAAAATACATCATGACCAAGAAAATCAAATCAGATAAAGTTACTACATACAGTGGCTCAACGTTACACATATCTTGTATTTGTTCAATATTTTATTTTGCTTCGCTTTATTAAAGCAAATTATGAGAGTATTTTGAATTCGATTCTAATTTCGTCGATTCTGCTTCCAATGATTATCAAAATTGTGTGTTTGATTTGTAATTTATACGAAAAGTCACGAAAACTTATAAGATTACACAAAACATTCAGTACGCGCTTGACAAATTTTTCTTTGTGTGTTTGACCAATATTCCTACTGTAAAATTTTGTACTAACTTCCGTACTTCAAGTTGAATGAATAGATACTATTCAATCAAATATACTGCAAATACATTTTATTAAAGAACAAATACAAAAAAGTAATACCCTCAATTCTAACTTTCAGAAAAATGCAGATGAAGTTAGTGATTGTGTTGGCGCTTGTGGCGATGCTCGCGTTCGAAAGTGGCGACTCCTGGTGGCGAAGAAGGCGTCGTCGTCGTAGACATTCCTGCCATCTCAATTACAAGGCTCATTACCATAGTATTCTCAACCGTTATCGAGCGAAAGCAAAAAGATACAGTGTCATTCAAAGACATTACACACAGTTGCTCACGTACATTCACCGTTTGGGGGTCAGAGCGTTACAATATGGAGGAGCAGTGACTAAAATAGGAAGAGAGTTGCTAGCACACCATACCACAAACATGTAGGTTGAAAATTAATCGCAAAAGTCGCATATTAATTTTTGAGAATAATGTCATTATTATGCTCAGGTCAAAATTTTTTTTGTTTTTTGAATAGATTTGGATCATTGTTGAATAGACAGCCGTGACCAGCATCGTGAAATGAGAATGAGTTCTATTCTTCTAAGCCCTTTTTACAACTTTTTTCTCTGAATTAAGCACCAAAAATAAACCCCCTTATTTTTATTTTGCAGAAAGATTGCACGCCGTTGGGGAGATGAGGATGAACTTGACGATGAAATACTAAATGACGAAGAAGTGAGTTAACAGTTTTATTTGCTTGTCATAGCAAAAGACAAAATAGAACTACAGCAGCTATGTTGAAATATAGCAAAATAATGTTATTTATTTATGAGAATTTTAGTGTTCAAACAATGCAAGATAAGGCGTGTATTTGCAAAAATTTACTGATACTGATACGAAACTTGAAAAGTTCTTCCTTAATATTAAATTGTTTGTTTGCTGTTCTCATTATAATAATTTAAACGCCAGGTAGACATTTTTATTATTTTATATTATATTATTACATATTTGTCATTTTTAATATTGGGGTCCCACCATCAAACTTTTAATTTTGGATTTTGATTATTTCTTTTCTTTGTGAAAGTTTTTCGCGTGTTAGCTTTATTATGATTCCGCAACACAGCGATCAACATTACACAGCCTACAATTGGCAATTTAAAATCTATACCATGTTGCTGTTATTCGCAAATGTCAAAATGTGTAATATTTTGCGGATTAGATATCTAAGATAAGCATGTATGATTTGTGTACAATTAATCACTTCTCCACCACAGATTGACGAAGACTCAGCAGACAACTTTGAAGACGATAGCGATGAACAGGAAATGTTTGATAATGATTCTGCTGAAGTTAAAGAAAATGAAGAAAGAGAAGAAAAAGAAGAAGAGGAAAGCAAGAGGAGAGAATAAAGGTCTAAAATAGCATATCAAAAGTTAACAAGTTTTAATTTAGCGATTTCATAGTATTAGGACTTAGTTTTTGCCAAGCACGATGATTAGGACATAAATGGATTGAAATATCACTTACAGAATGGGGATTTAAAAATGTTTCATTTGGCTTTAAATATTTCCGATAATACAAATACAGATAATACAATAATATTACAAACAATTTAATTTTGACCACTAATCTCTGCTTCACGTTTCACAGGTGAATTTCTGAATGAAATGCTCATCAAAGCACAACGTCTTTCCCCCATGATGACCAAACGAATTTCGACTCGACATGTGTTTAAGTTTAGTTCATATATGTACTATGCTTGATCATGTTCATTGACTACGATTGCTTAACATTTTTTTTTATATATAATATATCTATTCAGAAACAGTATACTATATCGCTGCAGATAATTTTGTTTTTCCTTGGCAGGGTTGTCTTGGGCTTCCACTCATAGAATGGCATATTTAATCAGAAGAAAATCAAACATTCACACAAAAAACATATTTCAGCGGGTTAAATTGCCGTTGCATATTGTCCTTAGAATATTATCAAATTATTCAACATGAACAAGCAGAAATGTCAGTAACTTTATATTCGTCAAATAGCTTCATTCTAGTATTACCAAACGCGCAAATTAAAAAAAAAGAATGGGGGAGGAATCGCACTCACTTATCAATTCCGTCCCCTGCATTTAAAGATAATCGTTAAGTGATTTAAGGATTTTTCTTTCTGAGAAATAGTGAAAAATTTTAAACTTACTTTCGTGCTAGTTGTGTGCTGTGTTCTGCAAACCAATCAAGCCTATGGTTTATAAAAAAGTATTAGGTTTGATTTTTCTTCGAGCTTTTATTTATGGTTGTATTCAAATAATTGCCACTCATATATATTTACTACGGACAGCAAGGAAAACATACCGAAGGTTTCTTTCGCCATCAAGGCATGTGTCTGTTCTAGAACGACTGATTACGGTGAATATTCCCATACCCTAAAATTGTAACCTGACGATTCGCTGCGCTCCACCCTATTGATGCCGTCTTATAGGTTTTATCGCCCCAGAGATAAATATAAAATCTTATTTCACCATGCGAGGATATTCATCAACCTGCTTGGCTTAAAATTGATGATATCTAACCTTTTGGTCGGGATGGGTCTTGGAGAAACGAACGCCAACCCTATAAATTTTGAGTGGCACGTTGTAGTAATGATGTGAATTAGACTTTTCCACGGCACAAATGTAGCCCACCAAAAGGCCATTCCGCGTTATCATGCGCACTTTTATATACGTCAGTGTTAGCTATGGCCTTGAAGCGATTTATGACAGTTATCGAGTATTGTCAAATTTCTAAAAATCGGAGTTTGTACTAAGTAGTCAGGGTCTAGTCTAGACAGTAATTGATCAACTAAAACCAAAAAAGTTTCGGACAATTTATAAGATTTCATGATCCTTCAGAGCCAGAGTTGAATGTTTTGCAAGTCTGATTTGGTTTTTAGAATAACTTTCAGTTGCGTTCAAATGAACATAATTTCTTAAATTAACAGCTCCGTGAAAAACATCCATCTTCACTTACGTACTTACGTGGTGACTCAAAAAACATTATCATGACTAAGGTTAAGTAAAAAACATTATCAGTCTGTTCTAATTCATGATAGTTGAGGTAGTGAACTCCTATTTCCTATTTAAACTCTCAGCCAACTATTAACAATCGCGAGACATGTGACATATTGAAGAGTAGGAAAATTTTATCTTCACGAAAATACTATTGTTGATCAGAATTCACTCTTAAAGACCTTCCGGTTTGGTGTTTTGAACCCTATGGGTTTTCAAGTGACAGTTTGAAAAGCAGTTTTGATCAACATTCCAGATTTGAAGACCTCGCGTGTTTTCAGTTTATTAATTATATTCGCATGAACTATGAGTTGTTGATTACATATGGTGAATTCTGCTGGTGGAAAACCCAAGTCGACATCAAAGAGCTCTATAAATCAGGCCGTAGCTACCTGTTACCATTTTATTGGTGTTTATATCTTTTAAATGTGGGACGGGTCTCATCTTGGATGAGACGACAAAAGAAACCTCCAATATCTACAAATGATATATATGCTATAGTTTTTTGAAGTTAAAATTTTTGGAAGAAGCAGCAGATTTGTGATTGAAATCTTGGGCGTTTTTATACTGCTTTTGTATGTTTTCAATTAGAAGAGCTCAAATATTCCAGGTTCTGTATTACGCACCTCCTTTATTATACGCCCTGAGTAAGGTGGCTGACATTGTGTTTCAACCCAGGATCTGCAACCTGCAATGTCAACCAAATGACTAAATTTTTCCAACAACAAAAAAGTTTACTACATAAAACAATCAAATACGATATTTGACTGCTGTCTTTCTACATAAGATATAATTGGTAACTTTGTTTGCTAACTTATAGACATGAGCAATCGCATTGAATATGAATGTTGCAGTGCTTTTATTATATTATCACAGCTCACCTAACTTCACCTATGGCTAAGACAATAACGGCTAAGACGATTTTTTTTTCTCAGGTCATTGTACAAGCCCAATACACCGTTTCACTCTACGAAATATTATAATATATGCAGATGGGTATTTCCATTTGAATTCAAAAATCTTGGCGATATCTAATTACGCTTTCATATTACCACATGCTTACACCTTGACCCTAAAGATAAGAAAATTAAAATATAGAAATACTGCCGAATATAATTACTATCGTCAACGAAATACGCGATTAATTTAGTTATCTTTTTAGCTATTCCTTTCCCAGCCTACAATAACGATATGTTCTGTCCATATATTTGTGCATTGCTGTTTTATTTTCTTTTCTGAATGGCAAATCTTCTCGTCTACTGCTATTCTTACAATGCTACTCTAATTGTTGAAAAATGATTTTTATTTCGACGTTAACAATTTTTTCACATTTATGTTTGAATAGTTTGAGGATATAAGAGAATTCGAACCGTAATCAACAAGAATGAATTCCGTGTTTTTAATCCAAATAGTCTTACTGGCAATTCTTGCTTTCGATACTGGAAATTCCTGGAGTCGACGCAGACGTTGCGCACAACCGTACAAGGAAAAATATGAAGCAAAAGACAAAGAAGTTACAAAACTAAACAAGAGAATCCAGAGCTACCAAAGCTTGATGATGACCATGGGAAACTTGGCTTAAAAAATAATTAATCACGGCACTCAGATTACGAATGAGGGCAACGAGCTTAAAAACCTCCATTCAAGATATACGTAAAAAAAATCCTATATAGTTACATATTTTTTCATTTTCCATTTTTACAAAAAAATTCTCAATGTAAATATGAAAATTTCCATACTTTTATAATTGAACTCAACATGACCCTCTTTATTTGAACATATTATATTTTTTATTTTGATAAAAGATACATAACCATTGCATGGATCAATTACTATTGTGTTTTTATTTTTTCATGATGTTAAAACTATATAACATATCTAATTGAATAGATTTCAATTTTGAACAACTACAGGATTTTAATGAGGCTTGGTAATGACCATGAGAATTGCTGAATTCATCAATGTCCATCCACGTTATGTCATTCGTTGGTCGGTTCCGTCCTGTTATAATAACTTCACCTACGCATAAGTAGTTAGCCCACCATTGTCCTATAACCGATGAAGCTGTAGGGATCGGATAAAAAGATATGCTCTTTCTCGTGATCAAGAAGTTTCTTTTTATTTGTTATTCTATCCTGCAACGTTTCTGAGCAATCGACGTTTTCTTCCCATTGTCTTCCTTCATTTTTATTACTGTTACCATTTTTTCCATTGTTGTTTATTTATTTTAACTGGAGCAGTGCGATTGGTAATGACACAGGCGACGACAAACCTGCCGAGGTGACTAATACTGATTGTACCTTTCAATTTATCGTTGTGGAAAGCACGTTGCAAATACACTTGAACGGATAAATTTATCCAATTAATTGAATCTTTTTTTTTTTTTATATATTTTGTTATGTTTATAACGCACCATGCGCACCGCGATTAAATTTGTGGTATATATGAGATATGCATTGTAAATTCTTGTTTATTTAGAACCCTGATTCTGAAAAACAAGATGCTGATAATCTAGAGATGTTTGAAGATGTTCATAATTTCTAGAAACAAATAGTGAAGATGATGAATTCTAAACATGGTAATATGCAAGTTAATTGCTGCTTCTTGCGTGTTTAAAAAATAAAATAACATTGTATTGGAGTTGAATTGTCAGTGAGTAAAAAATAGATTGTTGCCTGAAAGTTTAAAGATAATAGAGTAAATTGTATTTGTATATAAATTTTTTAAAATCTAACTTAAGCTTGATTAAAACTAGAATTTTGAAGCTACCAGATAATCGAGGGATATTTTTAAATACATGACTGACTTATTTCAATTGTTTTTGCAGTAAATTATTCGTACATTTGTCTCAACTAAAAGAATTCAATACAAAAATTGAAAGATTAAGGACAACATATTACTCGGATAGATGATGAAATTACGTCTGATTTGTTAAATAATTTTTTTTCAAAATTTTAAAACGACGTATAAACTGTTTATTTGATTTTTAGTACATCTTAATGATAATAAATAATATAACAAGAAACATTCAGAATTTTTTTTATGTCTGCATAGCGGGGCTGCTTTTTAATACGACTCAAACTGAGCTAAGTTACGCCAGAATAAATAGTTAAGTTTGTACCAGATTGAGTTTAGAAAACTTTGATTTTGGGCTTGTATATTTTCATCTTTAAGATTTGCTTAAGAAATGAACATCAGCTAAAATATCTTATCGCCATGTTATAGTGACATTATCCAAAATATATTTATTGGCGTCCGACCGAGTTAGTTGTTCACAGTATATTCTGTATTGTAGCCTAAATACTTATGTAAAGACGAGAAAATATTTTCATGTTCATCGGATCATATAGTATAGAATGATCAAAGGTGGGCAAGGTCTTTGGACCTGGGGCTTGAAACTTTGCCCATCTAGGCTGGCGGGCCACGTAAGTGTGACGTAAAATTTACATTTTATGAACAAAATTTACAGTGTTACAAAAGCAAAAGTAGAAACAATAAGCTTCGTGACGAAACTAAAGTAAATCGCAATTTGGTTTTAGTTTGATTTATCCAACATTTCGGTCGTCTTTGGTCTTGAAGAAACGAACGCCAACCCTTTAAAATTCGTGTGACACGTTGTAGTAATGATGTGAATTATACTTTTCTACGGCACAAATGTAACCCACCAAAAAACAATCAATCACACATTGTCATCCGCACTTTCAAGTACGTCAGTGTGAGCTATGGTCTTCAAGCGATTTTTGACAGGACTAAGATGTAAGAATCTAGTTGATCCAGTCTAGTAAAATTTCATGATCCTTCAGAGCCAGAGTTGAATGTTTTGCAGTTTTTGTTTGGTTTTTAAAATGATTTTTAGTCGGTGTGGTAGAGTCTAAGTTTCGGACAAGGATGTCAGAGTCATGTTGATCAACTAAAACCAAAAAAGTTTCGGGCGACATACGTTTCAGTAAAATTTTATGATCCATCAGACTCAGAGCCAGAGTTGAATGTATATTTGTTTAATTTATTCTTATTTAAATCATTGAACGACTTTCAGTTGTGATCAAATGAAGATAATTTTTGAACTCACAGTTCTGTGAAAAACAACCATCTTTACTTGAGTGACGACTTGAAACCTTATAATGACTATGGTTAAGTAAAAAGCATTATCAGTCTATTTCAATTCACGTTAGTTGAGGTAGTGAACTCATATTTTCTACTTAAAACTCTCAGCTAACAACTAACATTAGCAAGACAAAAAATGAAATTCCCAAAAGTGACCTTTTAGCCCGGTTAAGAAATTGTAGCATATAGGCACATGTTGTTGATGTAGTTTAATGTTGTAGACACAGAATACAGAAGATTGTTAAGACATGACGACATCGAGAAACGAGACGACACTTATCAAGACAATTCTACTCCTAATACAAGACCTCTCAATACATGACTTCTTCAATACCTCACTTCTTCAATACCTTTCAAATATCCAATTGAAACCTTATATACGTATGCGCGTATGGTGATATCGATTCCGTTAGGGTTATCGATTCGGGTTGGAATACTAATTAGCATCTGGTGTCATCGATCCAATTATATTTTTGGTTGACATCTGTTTAATTACAACGGGCCCTTTATCGACCTAATTTATGAATTTGGAGAATTTCGAAATAAGCAATTTTTATTATTTTTATAAATTTTACTTAAAATAACGAATTTATCCCTAAAACCCAACATTAGAATTTCAACGTTTGAGATTTGGCATATGGAGGTTATGAATAGGGGAATTTTATCTTTATGACATTACTATTGTTGATCAGAATCCACACTTATGTACCTTCCGGTTTGGTATTCAGAACCCTATGGGTTTTTTAAGTGACAGTTTGAAAAGGAGTTTTGATCAAAATTCCGGATCTGAAGACCTCGCGTGTTTTCAGTTTAATAAATATATTCGCATGAACAATGAGTTGTTCATTACATATGGTGAATTCTTCTGGTGGAATACCCAAATCGACAGCATAGAGCTCTATAAATTAGGCAGTAGCAACTTGTCCCATTTTATTGGTGTTTGTGTCTTCTGGTGAGGAGTAGTAGATTTGTGATTGGAATCTTGGGCGTTATTATACTACTTTTGTATGTTTTGGATGAGAAGAACTTCCGGGTTCGGTATTATACACCCCATTTATTACGTTCTGGGTGAGGTGGCTGATATTGTCTTTCAACCCAGGATTTGTAACCTGCAATGTTTACGTGTTTGAATATGAGTGTTCGAGTGATTTTACTATATTATCACAGCCCACACAACTTTACCTATAGCTAACACATTAACGACTAGGGCGATTTTTGCTCAATCCATTTTTTAACCCAAGTACACTCTAAGAATTAGTAGAATAATTAGGATGATATACAGATGAGAATTCCCATTTAAATTCGGGAATCCTGGCGATATTCAATTGCCCTTCCCTATTATCACATACCTACTACTTTAATCCAAAGATGTGGAATCTCATTATAGAAATACTACCGAATCGTTAGCAAAATACGTTAATAATTTAGTCATCTTGTTAGGTATTTTTTCCCAACTAACAATAACGCTATTTGTACTCATATATTTGTGTACTGATCCCTTATTTGCGTTTCTAAATGACAAATCTACTCGACTACTGCTATTTTTACCTAGTGCGGAAACTAAAAATCTTTCAATATCCCTCTAATTGTTGTAAAATAATTTTTATTTCCATGTTTTTTTTTAATACGTATTTTTGAATATTTCAAGAATATAAGAGAATTTAAACCGTAATCATCAAGAATGAATTCCGTATTTTTAATCCAAATGGTCCTACTGGCAATTCTTGCTTTCGATACTGGGAATTCCTGGGGTCGACGCAGACGATGCCCAACGCCATACAAAGAAAAATATGAAGAAAAAGAGAAAGAAGTTACAAAACTCAAAAGTAGTATCCAGAGCTACCAAAGATTGATGATGACCATCGGAAACTTGGCTGAAAAAATAGTCAATCACGGCACCCAAATTACGGAAGAGGGAAACGAGCTTAAGAGACTCCAATCAAGCCATATGTAAAACAATATTATATATATAGATATATTTTTTCCCATGTTTGCAAACAAATGAAATTCTCAATATAAGCCAATCATTTACGGTCAAGATAAAATTTGCATATTTCAACTTTTATAAGTACGATTACAATTCATCATTAGTATATGAACGGATTTTTTGTGTAATACTCATGGTAATGACTGGGAGGATTGCTGAATTCAGCAATGTCCGAGTTATGTCATTCGTTAGTCGGGTACGTCCTGTTATAATACCTTATAATACCCGCTACTCATAAGTGGCCCATCGTCTTATAACCGATGAAGCAGTAGTAATTGGATAAAAGTTATCCTCCTTTCTTGTGATCAAATAGTTTCTTTATATTTGTTATTTTGTCCTGCAACGTTTCTGAGCGGGCGACCTTTTCTTTCAATTGTTGTCCTATCATTTTTATTGCTGTTACCAATTTTTCCATTGTTGTTCATTTACAGAAACAGTGCTGTTGGTTATGGTTATGACACAGCCAACGACAAACCTGCCGAGGTGAGACAAAAAATAATCTGGTTTGCAACAGACCAACAGAAACTGAATCTGTTTGTACTATTCAATTTATCCTTGTAGAAATGCGCTGTTGTAAATACACTCTTAACGGATAAATTTGTCCAATTAATTGAAATTTTTTTATATATTTTGTTATTTTCAAAATGCATCTTGATTGAATTTGTGTTATATAGACTTTGATATGCATTGTCAATTCTTCTTTTATTTCAGAATTCAGATTCTGAAAAACAAGATGCTGAGGATCTAGAGATGTTTGAAGATGTTAATGATTTCCCAAAACAAAATAGTAAAAATGATGAATCCACAGATGAATTCTAAACATGGTAATTGTTGTTTCTTGCGTGTTTGAAAAGTAAATAAAATAATAAATTGTAGTTGAATTATTAGTAAATGAAAAAAGAGATTGTTGCCTGAAAATTTAACGATAATTGATTAAATTGTATTTGTATATAAACTTTTTAAAATCGAAATTAGGCTTAATTAAAACTTGGATTTTTTTGTTTGTTTTTGCCGTGAATAAATCGTACATTTGTCACAACTAAAAGAATTCAATACACAAATTAGAAGATAAAGGACAACATATTACTCGGATAAATGATGAAATTGCGTCTGATTTGTTTAAATACCTTTTTTAACGTATAAACTGTTTATTCAATTTTGATGCATTTTAATGATAATGAATAAAATACCAAGGAACATTCAGAATTTTATTCATGTATGCAAAACAGCCTGCGTCTTGATTTTTAATACAACTCAAACTTAGCTGGATTATGCCAAATTAATTAGTAAAGTTTGTACCAGGCCGAGTTTATATATATGGAGAATTAAGCACAGTACAGAAAAACTTCTATTTATGGCATGTTAATTTTTATCTTCGATGTTTGCATAAGAAATAAACATGGGAGAAAGGAAAAGAAAATTCATCATCCCAATGTTATAGTAACATTACCCAAAAGATATTTATTGGCCACCGACAAAGTTTGTTGTTCATAGTATATTCTGTATTGTAGCCTAAATACATATGTGAAGACGAAAGAATGGATGCATGTTCATAGGATAATGTAGTGTAGATTCATTGATTTATATAAACAAATTGAACAAAGAACAAATTGGGAAATTTGACAGGATTTTCTCCATACATGGGTCCATTGAAATCTCTACGGTATTTTTGCAAAGCGAAAAATTCCAGACCATATTTTCGACCAGTCGGAATTTTTTTTTTATCTCTGGTAGCTCTGATGCACTTTATTTTAATTAATAAAAGTGGTTTGTTGAAAGGAGGACAATACCTGATCGGTAGTTTGCCACACACGAGTTCTCGAAAAACCCAGTATCGTCAAAAGTATTTTAGTGTGTGGGATATAGATTACTTTTACATATAAATTTACGTATATTTGTTAGCGCTTGACTCATTTGTTTTGAACACGTAATACGTTTATTTGTACATGGCATAACAAAGAAAAACGTTTCATAACGAAAACTTTGCATAAGGGAAAATTACTTGCATTTCAAGCTTCTACTTTTATGCAGAATTTGATATATTTACTGGTTGAAGACCCAAGTATAATTATCCTAATTCTTCACTTTTCAAACGATTCGTATTAACACATAACAGAATTCTCGACTGCGACTGCGATACATAGATTTCGAAAGTGTAAGACTGATTTCCTTGACTTAGGCATATATATGTACTTATTTGATATGATCTCAATGTTATAGAGTAATAATATTCAAAAGATATTTGTTGGTCATCGACCAATTAAGTTGTTCATAGTATCTGTCTTGTAGGCTGCCCTCAATATTCGAGTTAAGGTGAGAAATTATTCCATGCACATTAGGTAATATGATAAAATCCATATTGAAGAACTGGACCTAGGTTGTATACCATAGCTTCAAAATTTTGTACTATTCAGAAGAACATCTTGGCAAATGGACATAGAAAAAATATGGAAATTTCATGGATTTTTCCCACAACATAAAAAAACACAATGATCAGAGGAAATTTCGATAGTATTTTTGCAAAGCGAAGATAACATTTTTTTCGGATTATCAGAATTTTTTTCATTGTAATATTAGAAAAAAACATTTGATGTCATTTTGTTCAATAAGAGTGGTCATTATAAACTATAGGACGACAAGACATTTTAAAAGATCGGCGGTTTTTGACATATATTGTCTATCAAAAAATCCATGCGTGCATTTATTCATTTTTTTAACATTACAGTCTGAAATCTCCCACAGATTTTCTCAAGAATAAAAGAGATTCAACAACACGAAGCATTATAATTGTGAGAGAAAAAAGTCTTGTGAAACGTTTTAAAATGTTTTGTTCCGGCTAACTTATTATTTTGTTTTTTAAATCCTATTTCTACTTCATCGTAAATTTTGTGGCGTATTCTTTTTGACGTTTTTTACTTTATACTTTACAGGAGTCGATGAATTAATAATAGCAAGAGTAAGGTAAAGGGGCAAGCATTATTTCCCGCACAATAGTGTAAGTATTTTGTACTTATGCTCTATAAAAACCCTAAAGTATGGCTCAAAAAGCAATTCAAATAAACACAGTGAAGTAATAGCTTGGTAGACAAAAATTCGACAGGCTAAAATTTTTGGGGAAGATTTTCAGCAAGTTATATTTACCATGAAATATACTGTGTTTTATAGGAGTACTGATAGTTGAATCGGCTAATCAAACACTTTTTGTGTACAAGGTTCAGTTTGTGAGATTTACGAAATATACGCAAGGCAGCGCTGTATCCCATTAACTGTAAAGGTTGCTAATGAAAAATCTTTTAATTGCGACAGAAACAACGTAAAACATCCCCTGTTTTAGCGGAGATGTCAGAGTATGGAAAGCTCATTCACTTTGGACTTGTGGTTACTCTGAAATAGAAGCCACATGCTAAAATCCATGCAGTCCTAAATATTATTTAGGAAATATGCATGCCAGTATTGTCTTACGGCCGACCAGTCGCTAACGACCACCAACTCACACAGGCGGTAATGAATCGGGTATGCATTGCCAAACCGGAAAAATTGCCATTCTTCCAAAAATAGGCTGTAGTACATAGCTCTGCTCGTAGTGAAGGTGCGTAAATATCTTAAAAAATATTGCTGTCCACTACTTAAACGTCATGCTCAGTATTTGTGAGTCGACTCAAGACTTGATTACAAATCACGTCTCGCCAATTTGGGAATCGTACTCAACTTTGCATGATACATTACAATATATATCAATCAAAAAACACAATTTTATCGTAGGGTTACATTTAATTGCATTCCGGATTGTATAAAGTTTATATTATATCAACGGTCACAAAAAGTACAAGATCAAGGTCCGAACGTGAATTTCCTTTTAAATTGGATCGGTTTATTCGTCAAGTTTGCTGAAAGCTTTGATTGCTGTTAAAAAAAAGGAAATTGTTTAATATAGGTATATGATGCGACAGTGTGACTATAATATTTCTAACAGGTATCGAATATGATAATGTTTACAATTTGAATAAGCCATTCAATGCTAATTTCAAATATGTTCGTAGCATAACATTCTAAGATTATGTCGAGCATTTTCGGAGAATCGAAAATGAAGCTGAGAGGAGAAGAAGTTGAATGAAATTAGCTATCATGAATTTAAACAGAACTTGGTGTGTCTCTTACCTGGTAAATATATATATATATACAGCTAAGGTACTGATATTGAATATTTGAGTTTGATGTAAATGTAAAAGGCCTAATAAAATGCCAACAAAAGTTATTTTATGCAAATGCAAGCAGAGCTAAATGGGTGACAGTTAAATTGCTGACTGACCTGACCCGGTCGTTATCCGGAAGGATGAATAATATTTTTATATTTCACCAGCTTTATCATGATCTGGAATTTCCTCAGTGTCTTCCTCAATTTCCAAATGATCCAACATTTCATCTCCATCTTCAAAGAAATCAGCAGTATCCTTTGATAAAAACAAAAGGGAAATATTTTCGAAGGTATTATAAGATTGGGACAAACAGGAAATTCATTAATCTGGTCCATAAATCTTTGACAAAACTATATTGCTATCACAACTAAAAAATCTTGTTCAAGTACACCATTTTAACAACTATAAGAAACTAAGAGAGTAATAAATTGCGCACGGATAAGAGAAAAACCCTGGTACCTTGAAAATAGCAACTCTCTATGTGTTAGTAGGTACTTCTCTGGAGCTTGTTCGTGGTAAATGTGAAAAAAAAAAAATGAACTTCTAGTACTTGAAGATAGTTGAAGCCGATATAAAAAGCGTCGGAATTTATGAAAATTTTCGTGATTCAATTTACACTCCTAATATTGTATATATATATTTTCAAAATATTGTTTCAATTTACCTTGGCTAGGTCATTTTGTTTTTTGTCAATTGCTTCAGCGTCTCCATAATAGGCAAGTCTCCTGTAATGAAAAAGGGGTAAATATCATCAGGATGTTTTTTCGCTGTGCATATTATTTTTTTCATACGTGCATAAAAATTACGTATAGAATCCACTTACCTGTAGTATGAAGCAATCGAATTTAATCCTCGTCCAAGGATGTAAGCTCTTCTAGAGTACACCCTCACACTATTTATCATCTTATAGTAGTTTATAAGTAATGCCCTGTAAGTAAGGCGTCGCCGACACCTGTATCTGGCTGCTCCGTTATCGGCCACAAACAATGCGACTGAAAGAAGAACGAGTATCAATTTGGTGTTCATTTCTTACCTAAAAACAAAAAGGAAGATTAGTGTTTCGATTAAACGAAGCATATATTTTGTAACTAAAATATATATATATATATACCGGTATATATAATTTAAAGTGAAACTAAATTTTCTCGACTTAGTTTAGGCAATTAAAAAATTTGAAGTGCCAAACTAATCACGATTGTGATTGATTTGACGACAAAGGGGCCGCCTCCAATCGACTGGTGCCGAGAAAAGCGTGGCCATAGGGTCACACCCATAGTGTACCCTTAAAATATCGTTACTTGCTGAAAGCAAATTGATATTATAATAGTTTGTGTATATCACGAACAAAAGTTTCGATTTGAATAACCGTATTCAAATCAATATCAGTTGAAGTATCAGTTCATTCGCAAAAAGTATAATCATTTGGAGACTAAACATAATGAAGGCTTAGACATAAGAGAGGCGATGGCATCAGATAATATGAAAGATTAATTTCAAAAATGCTAAGGCTATAAACATAAAAAATTGTCCAACATTGTCAATAATATCAACTCAGCATGATCGTCCAATAAGGCGAATCTTACATAAAACATAGAAAAAACATCATACCGTGCTTGCGTCGTTATTGAAAAGAAACTTGTTCCGTCTTATTCGTCGGCTTGTTTTAAATTGAGATTTCATGCACACTAACCGCAGTTTATAGGCAACAAACTGAGCCTGTTTTATTTTGCGTGGGATTTGATATTTTAAGTTTTGTAAACAGAGTTGGGAACAGCTTGGTATAAATTTCAAGATTTCAGGACAAGCAAATATTATTGTTTTGTGTCATTGTTTCCCTTTATACCAGAAGGTGGGAGTAATTTACCTATTAAAAAATTCGAGTAAAACAATAGGCTGAGTCAGATTAGATGATGTTTTGATTTATCATTCAGAAATGAGTAAAAGAAGATTCCTGATATACAATGAAGGCTCAAGACAGGCAAGAATGTATTAGATATTCAGGAATATTCGTCGTTGAATTTTTTATTCATATTTCAGGTTTTTAAAATATAGGTAAAATCAATATAATATATGTTCATCCATAAAAAGTCGAAATTATACTTATTTTAATTATTCCTTGTCGAACATTCAAACCATCTGTTAAAAACTTAAAGCCCATAACTGATACTAAAATGTTTAATGCAATTTGTATATATCGAAGAGTGTATTCTAATGCACTCAGACAAACTTTTATTTATATTTTCACTGTAACACGTTATTGAATATAACTCTAGTTTTGTCAGTATGTTTTACTTTGACGTTTCTCAGAATATTACCGATTTCATCATTGTTATGAGGTGTATGCAAAAGTTATATATATGAGGTATTGCATCACCAGATATATTTTCATGCACGATAATCTATGAAAGTACAACAATAGTACAATGTCACAGATGCAAAGTTGAGAACATAACATCATGTTATTATAACTAATTCCCCACACAAAAAGACATATATAGACCTCGTAAAATACAGCAGAAGTTGTTCTCATTTGTGAAATCCAGTTTTATGGAGTGTATGACTGCCAAATACTTTTAAATTCACGAATATTTGTTACCACTCCAATGTAAATTCCAATATTTTTTTTACATGACATAGCAAGGCAAAAATTTGATAGCGGAAACCTTATAGGCAGCACCATCACTTGCATGACAGGGAAATAAACATAGCGGAAATGTTGTTGGAAAACTTGCGCCATATCCGAACTAATACGAAATACTGAATACATCACAAATGTCAAATATGAAATCAAGTTCTACACGCAATAATTATTCAGGATATTTCCAAAAGTAACTGGAATATCATTTAATTTAATCATACTTTTGTCAAGGCTTTAAAATCGCTTTTTAAGATTTCTCCATTTTGTGATATGGTTTTATCTTCGTTTTGGATAGAACTCCGGCCAAAGCAATTAATAACTTGAATTTTGAAACCTTTATTAAATAACAAAAGATAAATTGAAGTTTATGAACTTCATGTCTTCATTTAAACCATATATATTCATCAAGAATGAATTCCGTATTTTTAATCCAAATATTCCTACTAGCAATTCTTGCTTTCGATACTGGAAATTCCTGGGGTGAACGCAGACGTTGCCCACAACCATACAAAGAAAAATACGAAGAAAAAAAGAAGGAAGTTACAAAACTCAAAAGTAGTATCCAGAGCTACCAAAGATTGATGATGACCATGGAAAACTTGACTGAAAAAATATTTAATTATGGCACCCAGATTACGGATGAGGGAAACAAGCTTACAAACCTCCATTCAAGTCGTATGTAAAAAAAATATTATATTATATATATATAAAAATTTGCATATTTTTACAACAAGTATTTAACAGTTGTGGTTACTTGAAACTAACTACCTTTCCTTGTTTTATATGCCTTTGCTTCATAGGTATGATTACAATTCATCATTAGTATATGGGGTGATTGGATCAACAACTGAAGACCCCCTCCACCACAGGGTACCCAACTGAAGAATCTCCACCCCAAGTTAGACCAACTGTAGAATCTCCACCCCAACTAAGTCCATCTAACCCTAACCCTACCAAATAAGTAGTCCAGGTCAAATGAAGGATCAACTGGTATTATCGGTGGGTTGGGGGAGGGGGACATTCTTCAGTTGGGAAACGGGATCAACTGAAGAATTTCCCCTCTGGTGAGTCCAACTGGAGAATCTCCTCCCCAGGCGGGTCCGCGGGGAGGGGGGATTCTCCAGTTGATCCGGATGATTTTTTTGTGTAATGCTCATGGTAGTAATACTTGAGTGGATTGCTGAATTCATCAATGTCCGAGTTTTGTGCCTCGTGGGTCGGCTACGTCCTGTTATAATACCTTATAATACCAGCTACTCATTTTATCCTGCAAGGTTACTGAGCGGTCGAGGTTTTCTTTCAATTGTCTTTTTATTATTACTTATCGATCTCGATCGGTAAGTATGTTGATAGGTATTTGTCTGTTTGCTTGTATGTTACGCGATATCTCACGAAAGTGAGGTTGAATCAGCTCCAAATTTGGAATGTGCATTCATCATATCTCGGACCAGAAGCCTATTGGTTTTTAATATAATTCGTATAATTAGCGAGGTATTAATTAATTAGTGATGGGACACGCGGTGTCGCTATTGAGTCAGAGCGAAAGAATCAAAACCACAGTTTCTGTTTTTGGGGATCCACGTCGAGTAAAATATTGAACATGCGGAAGATCGATAAGACGGCGGTCTCCAATCGCTATCTAGTTTTTATTATTGTCACCATTTTTCCATTGTTGTTCATTTATTTTCACGGGAACAGTGCTAGTGATTATGACATAGCCGACGGAAAACCAGCCGAGGTGAAACGAAAAATAATCTAGTTCGCAACAAAACAACAAGATACTGTTTGTACTATTCCATTTATCTTTGTAGAAATGCAGAGTTGCAAATACACTTGCACAGCTGAATTTGTTTCATTAATTAAAATAATATATATATTTTGTTATTTTCAAAACGCATCATGCGCACCTTGATTCAATTTGTGTTATGTAGACTTAGATATGCATTGTCAAAATTTTTTTTTTTCAGAACTTTGATTTTTTCTTTGTTTGAAGATGTTAATGACTTCCCAAAACAAAATAGTGAAGATGAATTCTAAACATGGTAATATGCAAGTCTTTGAAGTTAATTGGTGGTTCTTGTGTGTCTAAAAAATAAAACAATATTAAATTAGAGTTGAATTATTAGTCAGTAAAAAAAGTGATTGTTGCCTGAAAATTTAAATATAATTGAGAAAATTGTATTCGTATAGGAGCTATTAGAAATTTAAATTAAGCTTGATTAAACATGGCATACCCACCAAAGTGAAACATATCATAACGGAAACATTATATAAGAAAAAATCACTTGCATTTCAAATGCAGAATTTGATTCATTTACTGGTTGAAGACCCAAGTAGGTATCCTAATGCTTGGATTACTTCATTTACTTTATCTCCCACACACTGTAACTACTTTTGATACAACTGGGTTTTTCGAGAACCCGTTTTTGGTAAACTACCGATCATTTTCAAGTGTATAGTTCTCCCGTCAACCAATCACTTTTATTAAAATAAATTATGTCCAAGTTTTAATAGGGCAAGAAAAATTCCGACTAGTCGGAAATATGGTCTGAAATATTTTGTTCGGTTTGCAAAAATACCGTTGTGATTTCAATGAACCCATGAATTGCACAATTTATTCTATGTTCCTTGTTCAGATGAATGGATCGATCTATACTACATTGTCCTAAATTTATCTTACATACCATAAAACTAGATTCGATACAACGGCATGGATTTTTAGATAGCCACTATATGTCAAAAACCTCCGATCTTTCAAAACGTATTGTTGTCCTCTAGTTTAGACTGACCACCCTTATTGAAACAATTATTACAATAATAAAACTTGACAATCCGAAAAAATGTTTTCTTTACTTTGCAAAAACACTATCGATATTTCCCTGGATCTTTGTGTTTTTTTACTTTGGGAAAATCCATGGAATTTCCATATTTGTTCTATGTCCTTGTTTTCTTCAATATGGATCTCTATCATATTATCTAAGGTGCATAAAGTATTTTTTTACTCTTGCATTCACGTAATTCACGTTCTTCGAAAAAAAATTTTGTCCGGAATCAAATATTAAAATAAGATCCATTATTTGTTATTAGAAATTTAGGTATATTTAGGTATGCCTACATCCATTACTATTATATACCGTAAATATTATAGCTTTGTTTTGTCTCATTTAAACTTGCACTATTTTTGCATCCAATACCATAATATTGATGAAATAGATGAATACCAAACTACGCCATGGTTATACTGAATCCAAGCATTGGGATAACTATACTTTCAACTAGTAAATAAATCGAATTCTGCATAAAAATAGAAGCTTAAAATGATAGTGGTTTTCGCTTATACAAGGTTTTCGTTATAAATGCGTTTCTTTGTCATGCAATGTCTAATAAATGTACTGAGTGTTTAAAGGAAATGAGTCAAGCGCTAACAGATAAACGTAAATTTATATGAAAAAGTAATTTATATCCCACACACTAAAACTACTTTTGATGATCATGGGTTTTTCGAGAACTCGTGTGTGGCAAACTATCAATCATTTTCAACGTATTGTCCTCCTTTCAACCAACCACTTTTATTAAAATAAATTGCATCATGTTGTTTTTCTAATAGAGCTTAAAAAAAAATTCCGACTGGTCGAAAATATGGTCTGGAGTTTTTTGTTCGCTTTGCAAAAATACCGTTGAGATTTCAATGGACCCATGTACGGAGAAAAAACTTTTAAATTTCCCAATTTGTTCTATGTTCAATTTGTCCAGGTGAATGGATGGATCTACACTATATTATCCTATGAACATGCAGACATTCTTTCGTCTTCACATAAGTATTTAGGCTACAATACAGAATATACTATGAACAACAAACTTTGTCGGTGGCCAATAAATATCTTTTGAATAATGTCACTATAACAGGGTGATAATATATTTTAGCTTTTATTATCACATGTTCATTCCTTATGCAAATTTTAATAAACATGCACATGCCCTGAAAAAAGTTTTTCTGCAGTGTACCTAATTTCCCATATAATATATAAACTCGGCCTGGTACAAACTTTACTAATTAATTTGGCATAACTCAGCTCAGTTTAGGTCGTATTAAAAATCAAGACGCAGACAGGTTTGCAGACATAAATAAATTCTGAATATTTCTTGTTATTTTATTTATTATCATTAAGATGCACTAAAAATAAAATAAACAGTTTATACGTCGTTTTATAAAATTTTGTGAAAAAGTTATATCAACAAATCAGACGTGATTTCATCATCTATCCGAGTAATATGTTGTCCTTTATCTCCTAATTTTTGTATTGAATACTTTTAGTTGAGACAAATGTACGAATCGTTTACTGTAAAAACAATTAAAATGAGTCAATTATGTATTTAAAAATATCCCTCGATTATCTGGTAGCTTCAAAATTCTAGTTTTAATCAAGCTTAATTTATATTTTAAAAAGTTTATATACAAATACAATTTGCTCAATTATCTTTTAACTTTCAGACAACAATATATTTTTTTACCCACTGATGATTCAACTTCAATTCAATATTATGTTATTTTGTAAACACGCAAGAAGCAGCAATTAACTTGCATATTACCATGTTTAGAGTTCTTCATCTTCACTATTTTGTTTCTAGAAATCATTAACATCTTCAAACATCTCTAGATCCTCAGCATCTTGTTTTTCAGAATCAGAGTTCTAAAATGAACAAGAGTTTACAATGCACATCTAAGTCTATATACCACAAATTTAATCGCGGTGCGCATAGTGCGTTCTAAAAATAACAAAATATATAAAAATATTTCAATTACATGGACAAATTTATCACACACGCATTTCTACAAGGATAAATTAAATAGTACAAACAGTATCAGTCTCAGTTGTTTTGTTACGAATCAGATTATTTTTCGTCTCACCTCGTCAGGTTTGTCGTCGGCTATGTCACGACCAGTAGCACTGCTTCTGTGAAAATAAAGAAACAACAATGGAAAAAATGGTAACAATAATAAAAATGATAGGAAGACAATGAAAAAAAAAACGTCGACTGCTCAAAAACGTTGCAGGGTAGAATAACGAATAAAAAATTCTTGATTACGAGATGGACCAGTTGAATTCAGCAATTCTCCTGGACATTACCACGAGCATTAAAAAAAAAATCAGGCCACATGCTAACGATGTAACCATACTATAACCATAGCCTCCTTAAAACCCAGTATTTCTTTAAAATTGAAGCTTATACAATTTGTTATGTTGTATAGTTTTAACATTATAAAAAATAAAAATAAAACACAATAGTAATTGATCCGTGATATGCTCATGTATATTCTATCAAAATAAAAAATATAATATTTTCAAATAAATACGGTCATCTCGAGTGCAATTATGAAAATATGCAAATTTCTCTTGATCTCTCCTATGATTGGCTTATATTGTGAATTTCATTTTTTTTTTGCAAACGTGGAAAAGAGAAAAAAATATATGTATAAGATCTTTTTACGTATGGCTTGATTGAAGTTTCTTAAGCTCGTTGCCCTCATTCGTAACCTGGGTGCCGTGATTAATTATTTTTTCAGCCAAGCTTCCCATGGTCATCACCAGTCGTTGATAGCCCTGGATACTGCTTCTGAGTTTTGTAACTTCCTTCACTTGTTCTTCATATTTATCCTTGTATGGTGTTGGGCAACGTCTGCGTCGACGGAATAAGGAATTTCCAGTATCGAAAGCAAGAATTGCCAGTAAGACTATTTGGATTAAAAATACGGAATTCATTGTTGATGATTATTGTTCGTTTAAATACACTTATACCTTGAAAATGTTTAAAAATCTATATGAAAAAAAATTGTTAACCGAAGTAAAAATTATTTTACAACAATCGGAATAGTATTGAAAGATTTTGATTTTAGGATTTTTGAAAAGGTAAGGATATCAGTAGTCGAGTAGTTTTGCCATTTAGGAAGGCAAATAAGATAGCAATGCACAAATGGCGTTATCGTTAGTTGGGAAAAAAATAACTAACAAGATAAGTAAATTATTCGTGTATTTCGTTGACGATAGGGTTTATATTCGGCAGTATTTCTATAATGTATTTTCTTATCTTTAAGGCCAGGGGTGTAGGCATGTGGTAATATGAAAAAATGTAATTAGATATCGCCAAGATTCTGAATTCAAATGAGAATTCCCATCTGCATATAATTCTAATTATTCTTAGGGTGAAACAGTGTACTTGGATTGTACAATGAACTAAGAAGAAATCGTCCTAGCCGCTAATTCCACTGTAACCCTTTGTGGAATCTAACTTTAGTTTTGTCCGTATATTTTACTTTCACGTTTCTCCAAATATTACCGATCCCGCCATTGTTATGAGTTATATGCAAAAGTTATATGAGCTATTGCTCACCAGATATATTTTTCATACACGATAATCCATGAAGTACAATGGCACAGATGCAAAGTTGGGAACATAACATCATTTTATTGTAAATAATTTCCCACAAAAACATTTCCATTTATGGAATCAAACTATATATTTGCGGGTAAAATTTCATCTGAACGGAATTTTTCATAGCTTTATGTTTGAATTTGACGCATTTATTTCAAAATAGTGGCAATACATTTAAAATGCTAGTTTGTCACAAGGACTCTAGTAAAACCGAGTTGTATAAAGTGTAGCTGAAAATGCATGAAAGATTGATTACTGCAAAATGCTTTTCAATTTACAAAGATTTATTGCCACTCCATTCAGTACATTTTATAAATTTCTTTATACATGACATAACAAGGCAAAAATCTGTATAACGGAAAATTTATAGACAACCCAACCATCTACATGAAAGGGAATTACAAAAAGCGAAACTTATTGGTAGAATACCTTCGCCATATTCGAACTAATACGGAATATTGAAAACATAAAAATGTGAAATATGAAATCAAGTTCTTCACGCAATAATTATTCGGGCTGTTTTCAAAAGTAACTGGGATATTATTATATATTATTTTTGTCAAGGTTTTAAAATCGCTTTGTGAGTTTTCTCCAATTCGTGATATGGTTTTATCTTTGCGTTAGAAAAGACTCCGGCCAAAGCAACTAATTGCTTAATTTTAAAACCTCTTTTAAATAACGAAAGACAAATTAAAGTTCATGAACTTCATGTCATCATACCATAGTATCTTAGTCCAGGGTATCACGGGACACATTCAATTTGAAATCGACCCAGAACACTGAAATACAAGCATGCCCGCTATTTGCTATTGAGAAGTAGAGCAAAAAGCCGAAGTAGTCTAAGCAATTTAGTATTATTTTTAACACTCCAAGATCACAGGCTGACTTGTGACAAAAAAGTCATAAGTTAACAACGTGGAAAAAATAAACATGAATGCTTAGACATAAGAGAAGCGATAGCATCAGATAATACGTAATACCGAAGATCAATTTCAAAAAGGCTACAACAAAAAGATTGTCCAATATTGTCAATATTTTTTATATACTCATCAGCGTGATTGTTCAATATGTCTTCTTGGATGCATCTTATATACTTCTACAGAACATAGAAAACCATCCTACCGTGCTTTCCGTCGTTTTTTAGAAAAAAGAATGTTCCGTCTTGTTCGTCGACTTGCTTTGAATTAAGGTTCATGCAAATGGACCGCAATTTATAGGCAACAAACTGGGCCTGTTATTATATCTATATTTCGCGTGGGTTTTGATATTTTAAGCTTTGTAAACAGAGCTGAAATAGGCTTGGTGGAGATTTCAGGACAAGAAAATATTATTGTTTCGTGTTATTTTTTACCTTTTTAACAGAACGTGGGAGTTTTCCTATCGTCCGTTTTCCGTTTTTAAAGAGCAGAATTTCTTATAACGGAAACCCTATAAGCGCACAATCACTTGCATGGAATGGAATTAGACAAGTTAGGCCATATTCGAATTGATACGAAAACACACCAGGCTTTATATAAGTTAACTCGTTCAAGCAGTTAAATCAGTTTATCTTTAAACTTTTGTCTCCTGTATTCTGCTACAATAAACCTAATTTAAAAAATATATATTCAAGTTTATGACTCCGAGATAACAGGCTGGCCTGTGAAAAAAAATGTCATCATTTTTTAACGTAGGTAAAACAGGGGTGCATGGTTGTAGGAACCAACATACCCACTCTTAAATTACCAGTGCTCTTCAAACTTTTACTCATGGAGCGCCTTTCATAATTAGTCATGAAGTGGACATAGAATCGTTTTGTTATTATTATGTTGTTGTTAGAATTTTTCTTGCTGTTGTTATTATCGAAGTGTAAAAAATGTATTCCTCTTTAACTACCTGACGAATTGTTTTGAAATTTTCGGTGGGTTAAAATTGTTGCTTTCGCTAGAAGGCTATTATTTTTATTTGTTTCCAAATTTCCTCCAGGTAATTTGGCCTACGTCAAAGCTGTCTTTGATTTTGAATATTTGAAAGTCGAAAGTTTTTTTTAAATGGATAGCGTAGGCCAGCGCAGGTTAGCTTAGCGTAATTCTAGTGGGCGTGGCGTAACATTTTCACATGTCATTCTGACCCGCACCTGACTACGTCATCCAAAAATTACGTCACAATCACGTCAACAAGAGAGAGATAACTGGCTCCAGTGATTTCGTGGTCACAAACGCCATTCCGGGCGATCGTTGCTATATGATTTGGCAGGCTCTATTATGTGATTGCGACGTATCAGGTAAAAAAAATTTGGACCCCCAGAAGTATGTGCACTAAGATGGCGCACAACCTGAACATAGTAGTTGTACCAGATTAGGGTTCAGGTTGTGCGCCATCTTGCTCACATACTTCGGGAGCGCCGAAATTTTTGTATGGTGTAGTCACGTGGGGTCAAGATTGACATATGCAAAAATTGTTACGTCATGCCCACTAGAAGTAGAAAAATGTGGAAATAGATTTCCTGAATGGCTTGTGTTCAGAAATCAGGGCGTGTCGTGATCTTAACTTTTTCTATATGGGATGGATTTTGAATGATGTTACTCACTCATGTATTTCAAATTGTCAAATTTATGGCCGTGAAAAACACCAACACTTCCGAATTTGTGACGCAACACCGCTCTCTTTTGAGTTGTCTTTGTCAGAAGCGTAAAGCGGGATGGCGAGTAATATTCTACCCAGAACGACTCTCGTATACTATTTGTCATTTTTATACCCTAGCTATGAAATGGTATATACTCTTCGCACTTCGATATACAGGATGCCCTGATCTGGGACCAACTCTAAACAATACCTATCTATTTATATAACAGATTCATGAAAATCACCATTCAACGTAGGTTACATTTATTTGCATTCTGAATTGTATAAAGTTAATATCATATATATCAACAGTAACAAAAATATCAAATCGAAGTCCGTACGTGAATTTCTTCTTAAGATTAGATCAGTTTACTCGTCTTTCCTGTTGGAAGATTTGATTGCTGTTAAAGAAATACAAAAAATCAAACGTGTGATAGTGTGATCACATAATTTGTGTCATTATAGGAAAGTGTGATCACGACAAGTCATAAAATAAGAACTTGAAATATGTAAGTAACAGCTTTTCTAGGAGAGTAAAAACAGGCGAAGTTTAAGAGAATGATATGATCTGAATAGGCTATGGTGAATCTTAATAGAACCTGGCGTGACCAAAACATAATAGAAACTTACAGCTAAGAGGCTACTGATTTCGAGTATTGTTTGGGTCAAAAATGTAGAACGTCCTGTAAAATGGAACGACAGTAAAAGTAACCCCACCGCCATGCGAATAACTAACATAAATTGTTTACCGACTTGAAAATGTAACCTAGGCGAATAGGTAACAATATCATAATATTTTACCAGTATTACTCTGATCTGGAATTTAAACGAAGCCTTCCTCAATTTCGAAATCATCCAACATTTCATCTCCATCTTCGAGAAAATCAGCAGAATCTCCATCCTGTGGCATAAAAATGAGAAATAACCAAAAGATCTCGAAATCCATTATAAAGGTACAAATTATATATAACAAAGAAGTAATTCGATCAGAGTCGACTCGTTAATGTATAAGATAAAAAGGTTTAGCAACGTAGTTTAAAAATCGTGTTTCTAAACACCATATCGTCACGCTAATAACCGAATTGCGTAAGTCATTTTTGACGATTTTGAGTGTTTTTTATAAAATAGGTATTTATGTAATGCTGCGCACCTGTCTGTTAACTCAGATTTTATTTTAAGAATTCCGAAACCCATACATGCACAATTTTGCAATTATTTCGTCATAATGAGTTATTATTGTTACCGCATGACTATTGTGACGTCACAAAGACAAAATAAGCTCGTCGAAGTATTTTCGAGTTTTTGCATCTCGGATTCTAGCTTATCGCGTATTAATTTAAATTTATACTACAGTATAGGAAGGGCGTGCACTTGTGATATTCACTGTCCTAGTCTGTGCATTGCTGTTTTATTCTTTATATTTAATCTTAATCTTATTTCGGTGGGTGTGCAGAACGTGTTATATTGATGAAATATATAATTTTGAACATAAAAAATAATGTAATTGAAACTGATTAGCTATTTTGGGGATTGGACACTGTAGATACTGGGAATTACATTCGTTTTTGGAAAGTTTAGTTTCCAGGACTGGTGCATATAGTAAAGTTGCAAAATTGCGTATGTCTCCAAGTCATAGACACATTTCTGCCTAAGTCACAGTGCGCCATTATGACGTCACTTAACTGCGTCATACAAATTAACTTAAATCCGGCTACGACCGAAAAATTGAATCATGGCAAATTATTGACTCTCAATGGCATAACAATATCATAAGGAAGTTTTTTACGATTTTCTCAAAACTGCTAAAAATGACTTACGCAATTCGGTTATTAGCGTGACGATATGCACAAGCTCGCCATGAGTGGAATAAATTGGGTGATACTTCGAGAAAAATTTGATATCTCTAACCCTTATATGTAGTTATCCAGAGCTTTGATCTGGAAAAATGTGTAATTTCATTTCTAATATTTTTTCTAAAAAATTTTGTCAATTATTTGAATTTACCTTGACTATGTCCCTTTCTTCTTGCTCAATTGCTTCAGCGTCTCCATAATAGAGCTGTTTCCTGTCAGCAAAAAATGGTAACAAGAGAATACATATATATATATATATAGTCTTTACAAAAAAATAATATAAATATAAGAAATACATATATAAACTAAGTCTACCTGTAGTAAGAAGCAACATTAAGTAATCCCGCCCAGTCCGTTAGCTCTTCGAGAATAGCTTACAATACTCCCAATCATCTTATAGTAATTTCGGAGTAATGCTGCGTAGCTGAGCCGTCGACGATAGTAAATACGACGACTTTTTAAACCCAATGCTCCATTATCGGCGACAAACAATGCAGCCACGAAAAGGACAAGTATCAATTTGATGTTCATTTTTAACCTAGAAACAAAATAAAACCATTTGGATAAACCAATAATCGTTTCTGTAGACAGAATATGTATATATGAGAAACCATGTGCGCCCTCAAAATGATTTGAGAAAATTCAAAACTTTAAGTCTCAGACTAATTAATATATTGTTTTTGTTCACCATTGGATGAAGTTTTAAGCACGATGGGGGAATATTCTTAAAATTTATAAATACAAAAAAAATAAACCGAATATATATATATAGCTGATATATATTTATATATTGTAATTTTATTAGACCGTCGTCAGCACAAAATAACCATTTTTTTAAATATAAATTAGAGAAAACAATGAACGCTAAAAATTGGCTGGTTAATGATATCTGCATAATTTAATGAATTCAAGTAAGGTAACCCAGCATTGCTCATCGGCATGTTTGTTCAGAAGATCTGCTTGGACATAAATCACATTGCAAACAGTTTTGTGGAAAGATATCTCACATAGAACATTAAAAACCATCTTACCGTGCTTTTTGTTAATTCTGTTCAGTATCGTCGTCGACTTTTTTGAAATTGTGATTCCATACAGCATACAGCGAAATTTATAAGCAACACAATGAAAATGTTTTATTTTGCGTGGGATTAATATCCTTAGTTTTATGTTGCATGATAAACAGAGTTGGGATGATTTTATGCAGATTTCTGCACGAGCTAATTTTATTGTTTTCTACCACGTTTCCGTTCATTTTAATAGAGGGCGGGCGTCGAGAAAATATTAAAAAATCTGAGTAAAAAATAGGCTTATTAAGTTATCACCAGAGGAAGATAATTTCTTTTTCATATTTCGATAGTCTGTACAATAGAAGATCGATACAACCTGTACCTCCTAAGCTCTTTTCTGTTTGAATTTCTATAGGCTTCCAGTATCAAACCGAGTTTCAGTTTGTCAAAATACAGTTGAACGTTTTTTCGATAGATTTACTCAGTTTTCGTCTAAATCTACATGTCTGTTGGGCGGCAAAAATAAATGTATGAAGCAAATTTTTTATGACTATGCTGTGCCACAGTCTAGATCTGACATGGGCAAACTACGGCCTGCGGGCCAAATCCGGACCATTGGGTAACTCCATCAGACCCGCCTGATGTGCCACAGCCGAACTAAAATCACATTTTGACGTTTCAGCAAAAAAGAGCTCGAGAAATTTGTAGAGATTGTGATTAAATTTAGTTTTAGCACGGGGTTTACTGTTTTCCACTTTTGCTTTTGTAACACTGTGAATATTGTTCATAAAATGTAACTTTTTACGTCACACTTACATGGCCCGCCAGGCTGGGTGGGCAAAATTGTTGGCCCCCGGTCCAAAAACCTTGCCCACCTGCGGCTAGATGTAACGAACCCCATTGCCCCTTTTTGGAGGAGGCCACACACATGGTAATGTTGGGAACATAACTCCATCTAATTCTAATTTCCCGTACAAAACTAAGTCATACACAGGACCTCGTATCGTAGAGTACACATGAACAAATAGATAATTTTTGAATTGTACTGAATAAAGACATCAGGCAATACAGTAAGATTTGGATATTACATTATAGTAATGTTAACTTCCAAAATACAGTATACCAGGTTTTGTAAAAAAAAGTTCAGTCACGCTTTAACCCTTGACCCAAAGCCTTAACCACCGATGCGACTAGTCTATAGTCCATATAACAATACGGAATTGCTGTCGACGTTAGACCGCGCTTTAACAACCCAGTCTATTCAAATGGAGTGGACTTCGGGCTTGTGACAATAAGGTAACTTGATAAACAAGGCTAATGAGATGTCATATTTCAAATGCCGATCAGAATAATGTACTTTAGCATTTGTTTGCCGTAAATGACTTATGCTTAGTCGACTTGGCAATCGAATCTTATTCGCTACAAATTTCCTTGAGAATTTATCGCTACATGTTGAATGGTGATTAGCTAAGTCAGCTAAGATAACGGTTCTGGCGGCGTGAATACTTTAATTCCAGTCAGTGTAGATATATTTCATTCTGATTTACAAGTTCTCAAATCTCAACAGTATTTCTAGTTTCTCGCAAAATTCTTGAATTGGAAATCCAACCACGTTGTAGTAGTCTCCCTTTATACTTTTCACCAGAGTTGCACCCAATCCTTGAATACCATATGCACCGGCTTTATTCCTGTTTATAAAATATGATCATAAACAATGACTCAAACTTCCCAATCTATCAGTAAATTATATTGTTTAGTAAATTGATTTAGAGCCGGTTTTTGATACAGCATCACCGCAAAAGATTTCTCATGACACCACCTGACAAAAAATGTACCCCTGCGAAAACTTGGAAGTTTCTTAAGTGAAATAGAAGTGCATTTCGTATATTTATCTTAAACTACAGAATAGAATGCATTTATTATGCCCAGCTTTGATATAATTTGCATTTACAGCGAAGAATGATAATTGTGATAAACAAAAACCCACTTCATTTTCGTTACTGGTTTTGCTGTGGAATATGATATCTCATCGGAGCGAAATTAACATAATTAATATTTTTAGAATAAATCCAGGAAGAAAAACAGATTGCATCATTTCTAAGACCGGAAATTTATAATAGCTCACAGAGGTTCGTCAGACTGCACGTAGCTTTTTATTGTTTCCTCGGATAAAGATGCAAATTCCACCTCTGTTCTAGAAACAAATGACGCTTCTCTATTTCCTTCCTTATTTTGCAAACTGGATACAAGAATAATAGATACTCCAGTAAACACATTGTGTGTTCGCCCACTCAAGCGAGTCAGTGTTTCTATTGCCTTAGTATGCGTATGTGGTTTTCCAATTATTTTTTCATTGTCAACCTGTGTATATAGTAGTCTTAATAATCACTAATGAAATTTTCCATTAAGTAAATTTTCCATAGGGTAAAGTCAACCAATGATCGTAATTGTTGCACGGTATTAAAAAACCAACAACACCAATAAAAAACAATAACAAGAAAAGATAAAAGTTTTTATCCGTTGTTTTATCAATATGAACTGTAATCGTGAAAAAGTTGATTTATAGAGACTTTGGAATAGAAACATGTGAATCGGTAGCGTGTGATCAATTTAGCTGACATAAAAAGTATAAATAAGCCAACAAACAACAAAATGTGGGTCCCTAAGGTCACAACAGAGCCATAATTCGTCTTACACGTCAAACTGCGATGATGTGTACAGGCAGACACTCCCTAGTGTGTGCAAATATGCAGGTGCGTTATTTTCAAGCGAGGATTACATATTCTCAATACGAGACAAATCTACAATAAAGTTTAAACACGGACGAACAAGGATGTAAATCTTTCTGATACGTCTATGAGTGAATTCTCTGTCAACTTCGAGGTTTCCGTGCCCTATTGCGCCCGTGCGTGGATGATAAATTCGATCATAATCTATCACAAAATGGTGTTGAGCGCAACAAATCTCTTTGTAATATTCATGTTAATTAATACATAATCACTTAAGTAGCAACCTTTTGAACCCTAATTGTGAAAGAATTACTTGGGCCGGTTGGGCTCATACAATATTGCAGTAGATTTGGCGCATATTTTAAAAAATGGACGATTTTGAATAAAAGAGCTAAATTATACTCAACTCACGATTACAGTGTCGGCACCAACTACGATTGTTTTCAATTGTTCATTTCTTTCTAAATCTCTGACAACTGCCTCCGCTTTGTGATGTGCAAGATATTCCACAAATTTTGATGCATCCGCGAAATCATTCGGATTTACACTTTCTTCGTCAAATGGTGACGCTTTTGTCGTAAATTTCAAACCCTGAAATAAGCACACCGAGTTCGAGCATGGTTGAGCGCGCCTAAAATAGTCTATGTTGCTCGAGTGGGCAGTATGTATCTTAATACGTTAATTTATATAGGTTTAAGCATGGAATCAAAACTGTTACACCATTTTTGAACTTTGTTATTTGCTTGCGCTTCAGAATAACCAGGTTTGAATAAACATAGGCCTGGCCCAATATAGCACACTATAAAAATAGTTAGTACCGGTACTCAGGAGGGAAACTTACAATCTGTCTCCAGATCGCTTTTCTCTGACTCGACGAACTTGCTAAGATCAACTGATATTGCTGAAGTAGCTCCCTCAGCGGTGATAGCATGACACTGGTCAGAATCAATATAGATATTACGCAACAGCAACAACCAAGATCCACACCACGTTCATTACGCTGTTGTTTTTGAGGGAACACTTCGCGGAGTTTGAAATGAAAATCGCAGCTTGCGCGTTTACGAATCCGGAACTTTTCAAACAGAAATGCCTTTCTTCTCACTTCGTGTACTTTCAATTTTCATACTCCTTAATTGCTAGGGTTCAATATTTATTGTAACAGTCTAGCTTGAACAATTTTACAGATCTATAAACTGTTTTTGAAAACAGGGATTGGTGGATTCCGATTAAGCATTTTTGTTTATAAATAAAGACTACTCTAATAACAACACTCAATGCAATGAATTTTTTAGAAGTTAGCAAAGCTCTAAATGATTCACAAACTCTGTGAAATATTACAATAGTATGAATATAATATATTTTATTATCAGAATGTGAACAAAGTATGCTACTGCATGTTGTCGTGCTTTTCCAATGTGCCAATTGCCTGAAGAGCTCAAAAGTCGACGGCCAGCCCTATCCAAAACCTCCTTGAAATTTTTCTCCCTGCTGCAGCCACCCCCGATAATTTTTCTTTCCACATTCGCGTCTTACTTTTTGTTCATTGGGGCTTCGCTGATCTCTATGGACCTTTCCCCGACCTTTGACCTTTATTGTTTTGATTTTGGTCGCTCAGACAAACATTGCAAATATTCAGGCTTGTGTAGGGCGATAGAGTAGTACGTTGCTCGTTTTAAAGGCCTTCGAATGGCATTTCACTGGTGATGTCGGCATTTTCGTGCTTCTAAAGTTATAACATATTGTCAAATTATCTATTATTAACATTATTCCGCCTTCACATTGCCGTTATCGTACCTAACTTAGTTCCAAAAGCTTATTTATCATACAAAAAATTGAATCACTCTGAGATGACTTTTCTAGGACTTGGTTCTCCAAAAAACTTTTCTTTCCACCAGCTGGAGAAGGATACAATACTTTTCATTGAAAGGTGATATTCAAACTTATATGGTTGAAGAATGTCAAAGGACTGGGAGACCTGCGTGACTACCGGTACCGTATCCAATGGTTCATAGACTAATAGATACGGTACCGGTAGCGTCCTAGTAAGGACTGAATTGGTGGGTTTAGTATAAAAACAAATGAAATGCAGGGGCAGTTTAAAAAGTCTTTTAAATACATTCTTGGAAACATTGCACAAACTACAGCAATCTGGAATTATGAACAGATGATAATTTTTTTCAGATACATTCATGATGGTTCAGTCGTCAATCTTGGTTCAACGCTAGATTTCAAAGCCAAGCAAATATACTATTGTAGGATTAGATTCAACAGGTTTATTGAGGTATCATAATCGATTACATACCACGTAAAATTACAAGACCAATGATGTTATAGTGATAAACATGGTTTAAAAATTGTTACATATTCATCAGAACTACTTACTGGTGCTTGTTGCCATACCGTTGGACTAACCAAGACTATCCAACAGATGAAATTGAGGGGAATAAAAGATTTTTCGCTTCCCCAGCATTGGTAACAACCTAAATGGAGGGAACAAAATAGATCCAACAGTTTTGTCGTCTGTATTTGGTGCTAAGCCCACAAAGTTAGATCGAGCCATAGTTCCAATCATACCGGTTCAACCAAAAACAGTCGGGTATCTGATAGGTTTTACAATATAGTTTGTTTATTCATTCAGTGTAGAAATAGAATATTACAGATTTAAAAAAATATATCATGAAAGAACAAGCAAGTAAATCCAAGAAAATTACTACAAATTATACAGTTTTCCAGATATTGTGTTGCATAGGATAAAAATACACACCAGATATACCGTATGCTTTTCGGCACAACAAACAAAAACCACGAAAGCAATGGAACGTCAAAATATTAGAATTAAATTCATTCCACAATTCCATTCACAGACATAATGTATTACAATGATTTTACTGCTGAGTTATTTTATTAAAGCTGCCTGGTTTCATCTCCTGATAATATGGAAGAATTGCGCTCACTGAGCACTACCTCATTGTTATCTAGCCAGCCCATAGACAGATGGGCAAACAACCACCACTTGGTTCGGTTCTAAAGTTATCAGGTGATTATGAACAAGTTGTAATTTATACGACAGCGATAAATGCAAAACAACTTAACAAAAGAAGGATATTTATCACAGTTACTACCAAGTGGTGGGCCAACTTCTGGTATTAGGAGCAGCTTGGTGTGACTTTGCAGTCCGCACAAAATGATAATGATATCACCAGGGTCACACCTCCATGGCATGCATGTGAAGCATCCTCCATAAAGTAACATCATTTTATCACCAATGGATTGTAAAAGATTCTACATGAAGTCCCAAGTTCTCCATATTAATTTTCCTTCTTTATTCATCATTTTTACAGTTCGCAAATATGACGCCAATGCTGGAAGAAGTATGTGTTTTTTCATTTTGAATTACATTAAAAGTGTTGCCCGATTCTAAATCTTGTTAATTCTTTCGTGCCCTTTTATTATTATTTCTTTTTCTGGTAGGTAGCCACGTACTTTTTGAAATCTATTTTAAGTTATGCTCGACTTCCAATTATCTCTGCATTTTGTTTGTATGTTGACTTTTTGTGTTGTTTTATGCCAGAGGACCAAAATAAAATGATGATGATGATGCTTGAATACATTTTTCTGCTGTCTGACAAAGCGCTGTCTTTTTCATCAGCGGCACTTGTTTCAACTAAAGAGTCAGGGGGCAGATCTAGTTGGATCCCTGACAATCCTTTCTCACTTTCGTCAGATTCGCATGTCTCTGTATCAAATGAAGTATCTGGTGACAGATCCTTTTAAATTATGATCCAAAGTTAAATTAAGATATAAGTAATCCTTACCTCACAATTTGCTGGTGTTTTTTTGTTGGGCGATAAGAATCTGATATAGGGTCAGGGTATTCATCAGTTGGTCCATCGCCTCCATGAAAATGCATGATGGAACGCATTGCTTGTATGAAAATTTATTTCATATAAGAATTAACATATTAAATATATCATAGGTACCGAAAACAATATTTATGTTGGCCTACCTTGGTACAAACGTAGGTATTTCTGGTGATTTTTCCTAGATTGAATTGACTGCGAGGCCTGTTGCATTCCTTTATCCACCTCATTGCTTTTTAGCGGTCAATATATGGCTTCGGAAAAGGCACAAATCTTACTCCATTTGAGCGGCAGGGGTACCGTACAGGTTGCCAGACCGGCAAATACCATATTAGTTTATACATTGTTAGTCAACCAAAATAATTCACTAATAGGCTAGATTCAACCCAAATAATTCACTAATAGGCTAGATTCTGTTTAATAAAAATGCAACATCGTACCAGTATCGAAGGCGAATTCTTCCGTATTGACATACGGTAGGCTACCGGTACCAGTACCCTTGATTGCATCAGCATGACTGGTACTATTTTTTGGTTCGAAATAGCAGTTGGTTGACCTGTACGGTACAGTACCGTACCTGTAAGGCAGTAAGGTGCCTGCAACGGGTGCAGCCTTTTAGTATAGATAATTAGATTTCGTGAACGTGATTTGCAAAAAGTAACATACAGTATTACAGCTTTCTAACTCTCGTAGCCCTGAGAAGAAAACAAAAAGCGAAATAAAAGGACATAGATCTGTCTAAACCGCCAGCAACCTGTGCGGAACACGTCCAAAGGGCTGACGGACAACTCGACTACACGGACAACTCACCAGAGACAACTCGACTACCTAGAGGCCTGGTGATATCTGTCGGCACTAAGTAAATGCTATGCAACTCTTGAGTCTGCGTTTTGCAAAGCAATGTCTTCTCCTCGAGCATCGACATCGCAGAGCGATTGCTCGACTGGTGAGTTGTCTGCCTCTCGTTGCTCGGTAGTCGAGTTGTCTTCACCTCGAGCATCGATGACGTCACGTCGCAGAGCGTTTGCTCGACTGGTGAGTTGACGGCCTGTCGGGCGACTGCCGTAGGCGAGTTTAGACTACTGCAACCATAGACTACTGAGCGCACATTCATAGTTATTTAAGTGTTACTGTGAAGTATAAAGGTTTTAATATATTTGAAGGTGCCCATTCAAAACATTTAATACCAATAAAGTTCAAAAAATTAAACGAACACAGTCCTATAAGTCAACAGTCTAACTTCGCTAACGTTACTCCAATTCTGTCTGTAGACTGTATTTGTATTCATACAACATGATCAAAATAAGCCACTTATACAAATAAAAATGCTTTCTAGAGCATATTTATTTATTTTTCTTAACATTTGAGCACTAAAATAACAAAAAACGAATTTCTATAGACCTAAAACACCACCGTAGAAAATGCCAAAAGACGGACAACTCACCAGGCCTCTAGGTAGTCGAGTTGTCTCTGGTGAGTTGTCCGTGTAGTCGAGTTGTCCGCCTCCCGTCCAAAGTTGTCTGAGCGACTTTTCAGCGAAGAATGTTTGTTTACATCTGCTCGCTTGTGATTGGTTGAGAATACGGATGTTTTGATGTCGGGGAAAGGTCCATTATCGCTCAAAGTGTTTCTTATATATAGCGCTAGCTTTATTTTCCTTTTTAATTGCTTGCGAGCTGGTCGGCCAAATAAATCATTACTTGGTATTTGGTAACTTTGCTCATTGCGTAGGATCGCTGACTTGATGTCCGCTTTCCATTTCCTTTCCCCCTTAACTGTTTGCTCGGTACCCTCTTTGTTCTACTTTCTCTCATTGACAGCCTGCTGCTTATTTTATTGCTTCCCCATCGTCTGATGGTCCATCTCCTTGGCAGCCTGCTGCTTCTTTCATTGCTTCCCTATTGCCTATAACTAAAATCGCTGGACTTGATGTTTTCCATTTCATTTTATCTCCTTAACTGTTTGCTCGGTTGCTGCTCTTCGGTTCCCTTTCCTCCCTCGACCGCACCTGTCTTGTCTGCTGGCCCCTCCCTGCAACTCGGTTTAAACAGGCGCTGAGCTTCCGCTTGTTTCTGACTTCCCTCACTCTATCGTTTTTGACCGGCCTGCTGCTTGTTGGCCTGTCTTGTTTGCTCGTTGTATCCTTACAGTTCAGTCTACCCTATGGAGGTTTGGAAACCCACCCTCTG